GGGAATCAGACAACTTTATTCTGGAGGTGGTAGAGGAAGCTGAGAAGTTGTGTTCCAGGTATTGCAGGGATTGGGTCCTCACTGCTTGGAGAAGAGACTGTGTTTGCCCATTCAATGACCAGGAGGGCACCAGGATGGATTGATTCATCTTGTGATCCAAAAATACGGCGCTTAGCTGGGTTCCTCTTAGTGGGGAAATTAAACCAGCAAGAAACATTTCTCTGCCCTTCTCGTGCAATGAGTACAGAGGGATCCAAATCCCAAACCATGGGTAAACCACTGCTTCCACCATGCCAAAATGAGAGCTGTAGGAATGATGTCCAACCACCAAACCCTGTGGTGATCTGCTAATTCACTGCACCGACTCAGCACAGGATCTGAGCATCAGGACAGCAGGCACACAGCTGGACATGGCAAAACCAGCAACTGCCCAACGATGTAAGGGATTCAAATCAATACAAAACCACATTCTTTTGCATCACCTCGAGTTCAAATGGGATCTGTTTCATGGAGCAAAAAGCATTCCATGTGAGACCTACCCCAAGGTTTGATCAACGCTCCGTCATTTCAACTTATGATAAATAAATCTCAGCATATTCTAAGAGATTTCCAGAACTCGGAACATAAGAGGGGGAAAAAAAACCCAGCTAACCAGGCACTGGAATGTCAAAGCTGAGTAGAGATTTGCTGTTTCATTAGAAATTATCCTCTCTCAGTTTTTCAGATCCAAAATGGAAAAGTATTTGGAATCTGGGGAAATTGGAGCAAAGCATATGGAAAGCCAAGCTGGATGGGGCTGTGAACAACCTGGTCTAGTGAGGGGTTGGAACCAGATGATCTTAAAGGTCCCTTCCGACCCAATCCATTCTACAATTCTATTACTCTGTGACACTTAGAAGCTATCTGTGGACAAACTTTAAGCAACTGACGTGCAATGGATGGAGCCTGACTTACTGCTTGGCAACGCAGCCCATGGCAGGGGGTGGAACCAGACGACATTTAAGGTCACCTCAAACCTGACCCTGTCATAGAATGGTGATCCCCACACCTCCCATTTCAGTGTTTGTTGTACAACGGGACTCTTACAGATAAAATTTGCACTGCACTCTTTTCCTACACGCTTCCTAAACCAATTTTCTATTCACTGGGGACTGCTGGTCAGATCAGGCTTTCCATCAAATGCAAGAAGATGCTCGTCTGCTTCTAATTCATTCTCCATCAACCTGCTGGTAAGATGTAAGTACGCAACTTGGAGGAGGACCAAGTCTCCCCTTGCTGCTTGCCTCCTGACAGAAAGGAAAATGCAAAACACCTCCACTGCATTGTGTTACAAGAGGGCTCTGCTCGAAACCATGGCAACTGAGCGTGGTTATCACTGCTGCTGCTGAGCCAGCCCACACCGAGCGCTGCAGAGGCAGAGCAGGTTTGGTTCATGATGTGGAACTGAAGGGAATGGGTGAGGAGCTGCCCTCACTCTCACCTCACCTCACATCATTTCTTCACTGAGATCCCAAGATTATTAGGTATTTTCTAATACCTGATCAACTCTTGGTGCACAGCCAATGTTTACTGCAGAACACTGAGTTCCCATGCAGCATTCCTGGGTCTGGTTTCAGACACAAACAGCTCTGCAGTGCCACAGCAGCTCCTGGGGTCTGAATGATACCAAATGCTGCAGGGGCTTTCTTCATCCTTCTTCTGGAAACCCAATCCTAGGCATCTGGGATTTCAGGCTAACACCACATCCAGAGATGTGAGGATGGATCTGCATCACTGTGCTGTGTAGAAATGTGCTGCTCACAGTGGGATATTCCTCCCAGGGTTTCCAGGAGGAACCACTCTCCTCCACAGCCATCACAGCGGGAAAGAACACCTGAAATCTACCCCAAAACCCGCATAATGGAAAGGAGAGAGGACAGGGCAGGGTTCACCTCACCCAGTTTTATCTGTCAGTGCTGGAGGAGGCTCCCAGTGAGACTTCACCCCACGCTCCCTTTGCAGACCCCCACGAGCAGCCACTGCCATGGCACCCTGCATCAGCCCCACTGCAGCCTTTCAGCTCACGATGGAATCAATCACCCTTAGTTCCCCCCTCTGACTATAATGCAAGTATTGACAAGGAGCTTCGATGCTGGTACTTCAATCTGGACACAGTAATTTCACTTTGGGGGTCTGTATCTGACTGCAGCTCTTTCACTGCCTAATCAGCACCAACCACTTCCCTCCCCCCCCCCACCTCCCTCAGTCCCACGAGCAGCAGCACAGGGACAAAACATTTCATTTTCTAAGTGCTGCAAAAGCAAGCAAAATAATTGCATGGAAGATTCTGATGAAGGCAAAACACGGAACAACATTACGAGGTTCAGGTTAAGAAGTGTCAGAGTGAACACACAATAATCACCACTTTTCCATGCTCTGGTCACAATGGATTGAGCCTTTCCCTAAGATGCTTTACGTTGTTTGTCAACTACTCTACTTGGTAAATGCTGCCAGCTGGGGGGGAAGTCATTACTGCGACGCTGCTTGAACCCTGACAAATGCTTTTTGCTCTGCTACCAGCAGCCATGGATGCTGGGGGTTCCTGATGGGAGATCCACAGTGACTGAGTTCCCTTTGATGCCAACAAGCCGTCACTCACAGTGAGCCCCAGCACAGAGGGGCAGCAGTCCCAAAGGCCAACACAAAACCTGGAGGCTGGAGATGCGCCATTTGCCAGAAGCTTAGAGAATGTGGTGATTTCTGGACATTGTGTTCTTCCTCTTCCCTCTCCCCATACTTCCAAGAAGATGGGAACATGCTCCGTTCAACACAAGGAGAAAGATTCCCCACTGGCGGTGCTGCAGCCCCAAAGTCCATCATCCCCAATGCCTTTGTGGTGTCCTCATACCCAGGGTACATCTATTAAGAGCAGCCTCACAAAACCACATTTCACTTCAAAACTCGTCCAGAAAACATCAGCTTTAGCAGCTCCATTCCTCACTGCATCGGCACAGAGAGGGCAGTGAGCTCTGTGCTAACAGTGTGCTCCTGCCCTGGTGACGATGAACTAAGCCCCATGCAAGCAGAAAGGAAACCAAAGCTGCTGCCAAATCTGCTCCTGGTAGCTCAGCCAGGGGCAAGCTGTGCTTCTTTTAAAGAAACAAAATGAAAAATCATTACTTATCTTCATTGGTCCTAAGGGTGTACTGTGCCCTGAGCTCCACGTCTCAGTATTAGCTCTTCCCTGAGAGCTGGACAGGAGGGCTTTGAGGAGCACAATAGCAGAATCTCAAAGGGTCTTCCCTATTAATCACCAAAATGTATCCTGCTTCATTATCTACCATCAGAGTGTAATGCAATTAGCGTGCATTATACATTAGAGAGATTTATTAGCCCTTCAGAACATACGGACTCGCACTCAAGGCACTGGCAGCCCATTACAACGCCATGTAACTTCTCTCCTTGCCCCTGGCGAGGCGCCTGGTCTGCTGAGTGCTGGCAATCCCACAGGGCCCTATAGATGCCACATATGCTCAAGTCCCCAGGCATTTACCACCTGAGAGGTGGAGGCCATCACCTCTCATCTTACCACTGTTACCTGGGAGAAGAGAATAGGAAACCCCTGGCCACCTCTGTAAGCACCAGGAGAAACCAAACCCGGACTACACAGCTGCACGATCAGCTGGCATGTGCAGAATGCCACATATAGGGATGTTCAGCACCAGGGGAGCATTCTGCAAGTGAGTTTCCTTATCCTGGCAACACAGGACAGCACTGAATTGCCTGAATTCCTCCTGCTGTGGCAAGCACTGCTCCCAGCCTGCCCATACACAGGAACAGGAGCAGCTCTCAGCTCCACAGGCATCACAGACACACACACACATTGCAAGGAGGGTCGAAAAGAATTGCCCAGTAACGAGCACTTAATGACTCAAGAGGAAGGATATCAAATAGCTAACATTGATCGACATGAAGACACTTGCTGCTGTAAGATGCTTTCCAAAGGGTTCACTCCATAGGACTGTTGTGCAGAACCTATTCAAGCATGTCGATTTCCCATTGGGAGGAGCTACGTGCTGTTTTTCTACTGCAGCCTGTTTGCCACAAAATTTAAAGCAGTAAATGACTCTGAGATCACCAGCAGCTACGGCTGCTTTGATCAGCCAGGAGCTGTTTGGTTCCAGCAGACAGTGCTGTGTTTCGTCAGCCTGGCTGCAGGGCCCAGAGATGCCCCGATAAGGCTGAGAATCTGAGTGTTTCCCTGATTTTTGTAATCGTATTTTTGGAGATGGGCAGGCAAAAGAGAGCAGAGCTTATGGGGATCAACGACCAGAATTACAGTCAGAGTCTGTTTCCACTCTTCAGTAAAAACAAAAGATAACGCTGTTAATAGTGATCATTGAGCTTAGAGAATATAAATCTAACCATGATTAAATTCTGTTCTCCGTGAGCTAAGCCAGGAACTCTGCTGCTGTCAGAACAGAGATTACACATGCACTTACAGTCCAACATTGTTAGAGCCTGACTCTGTTCCTTATTCTGCTCTCTGAAAGACATTTAATAGGACTACAAGGAGCAAGACTTCAAAAAGAAGCCAGATTCAAAAGATGCATCCACGCCGTTCATCCTTCATCTCCCCATCCCTTACTTTGTGTGGTTGGGAGGGGATGGAGGAGGATTCCCCCTCCAGTCAGAGCTGGCGATGTCAATGTAGCCCCCCCCAGCAATGCCACAGCCGCAGCTCTGTGTGTGGACCCTCCGAGGTCCTTCCAGCTCATCCTGGAGATGATTCTGACGTTTGCTGGCTCAGCTGTGTGCTCACATCTTTCCACGACCAACACAAAGGTTTAAGGAGAGCAGCACAGATGCAGACACGCACAGTGCGGACAGATGAAAGCCGAGCGAGAGCCATCTCATCCCACGTGTGACCTCAAGCAATGAAGTGATTCTCAGAACAGAACAGAACAGAACGCTTTCAGATGAACACATCCATCAACCCACTGCTCAGAGTGTCTGCTTACCTAGGATCACAAAGAAACTTGGTCTTTTCACCTTCTTCTCTCCAAATAAGCCATTCTCGGAAAGAGGGATGAACAAACATTCGCGTCATGTCTCTACGTTTGATAAGAAACATAGAAAGGTTCTCCATCCTCTGCTGAAAGTCATCCCACTCCAAAGTGCCCTCAATGTTACCTGCATTAATGGCCTGAAAAATATGCTCATCTGTTAAAGGATGCAGAGATGCCACTGCCACATTCAAGAGAGGCATAACCCGATCAAAGGAAGACTGCGTTGGGAACTTCATATTGCACTGCAACAGGTAAACTTCTGACAGAGACACTGGGACAACTTTGTAGCTGGAGCTTTTTAGTACTAGATATCCTTTCTCTATGAGATCAAAAGTGAGTTTCAGGTAAAGGTAGGACCCTTGGCTCAAAGTCTTGAGGTGAGAGCTGAGTTTGCCAAAGGTGGTGTTGTCCATTTTGCCGTTCAGTGAGATGTTGTTCTGGATCTCTGAGCTGCTGTGTATCCGGTGGAGGATGTATGCCTGCAGGTCCTGGTCTATGGCTTCGTTCTCTTCCAGTCTATCCAAAAATATTCTGTGGAAGGGCAACAGCTTAATTATTTCCTGCAAAGAAAGAAGAAAGAAGTATATTCATTCTGGGAATGCTTATTATTAATTAAGTAAACTTGATTTGTATTACAATAGCACCTCTGAGACTCCTTTAAGACCTTTTCCATCAGAGAAAGCACACGAGGAGGTGGTTTATGCCCTCAGGACCTCACAACCTCATCTATAATCAGACAGTTTCTGCGTGACACATGACTGAAATAAAAATGCAGGACGTGGTTCCTAACACTGCATCCATGAGAAGGACTGGGAAATTGGCCCGGAGATGTGCCCTCATTACCCCCAGCCCAACCCAACAGCGGGGTGCCATCCCTCCTGCTGTCATCTCAGCCATTGGAGGGAAGGATGTGGAGGTGACAGAACACAGAAATCCCACTGCTGCTATCAGTAGGAACACACACCCAACCAAGAAGGCAACCGTTTCCAAGCAATGATGGCCAGCTGGATACCATGGCCAGGGAATCTCTCATTTGCTAAACTCATTGATGTTCTTATAGAGCAAAACCCAAATTCATTAAAGGCTTTTCCAACAATAGGCTCTGTCACTGCAAACTGGGGAGAAACAACATAGCAGAGCCTGACAGCACAGACTGAGGAGAGCATCTCCAAAATGGTGGTGCAAAACAAAAGCTCACAGGAAAGACAACAGGGGCTGCAATTTACCTACCACCAGCACACCTGATACACACTAAGCAATTCTTCATCACAGCCCATCCTGACAACCCAGCAGCTACCAGGACTCGGTGTACCTGTAGACTTGTCCTGACGGTCACAACCAGCTTCAGCCAGGAGGGGAATTTCCCAATCATTTTGCTCAGGAATGATACAATGGTGTCACCGTAATCTGGCTTGTGAAATTCAGCCTCGTTTAAACCATCAATTAATATGATGAAATCTTCATCAGGGATCTTCCTCTCTGAGAAGCAAAAAAAAAAGGAAGAAAGCATTTCCTTAGGAGGCAAAATACGTGGCTACAGTATTCTTCAAGGGTAAAAAAGAAAGAAGACACAGTGACAGCATCTCTCTTATGACACACTAATTGCACACAGGTAGGTCCATGCATACTCAACTTCCATCCTCAGAAAATAGGTATTTTAATGAATCAGTGCTCACTGCCAACATGAGCTGCCCACAGTGCTCCAGGGAGATCAGTGAAATCCCATTCTGTCCCAGCCTGACGTTACCAAGTTGCATTTAGTTCTGAGTGTACCACTAATATCCATATGACAAACACGTATTTTGCATTAAAGTCACCAGAGATCCTTTCTCAGCTGACTCCCCAGTAAGCTCATCGGATGCACCTTGAAAACACACTTTATGACTCTGAAATCAAGGAGTGAGTGGAGCCTGAGTTCTGTGCCCACATCTCATGTTTCTCATAAAGCCCAAAGGAGAGAGGAGGAAGCAGTGAGAGGGGAAGAATCCCTACTTTGTTCTCCTATATATTCTTTCAATTCCTTGTCATTAAATTCATACACATACTGGAGAAACATGAATATCAGTTTCTCAGTGATATCCATCATTAACCGTTCTGCAACAATTTTGCCCCCAGCACCATTAAAGCTCCATCGGCACCTTGTAAAAGACCTGCTGATGTATTTACAGAGCCTTAAACGTTACAGATCTGAAAACCAATTTCCAGATGCCGCTCATTTTGTTGCAGAGCTCTCGGTAGCCATCAGCCAGCCAGCACTCTCCAGCAGTGCTGGAAGATGTGGGGAATCCTGATTCCATATTTCCACTCCCCAAGATCTTGGGGCCATCGGGGGGGTCAACCTGCTTGGCAAGAGAAAAGAGCATCCTCCAAAATGCCCTACAACCCAGAGCTGAAATACCTCCCAATGAGACACACAGCTCGTTTTCCTGCACAGCAGTGATTCCCAGTGCAGGAGTGCTGGGAGGAAGGAGCAGCCACACTCCTCCTACAGTGACATTTGTGCATGCCAGGAAAACAAAGTGCTGTGCTCATGCTGGCTCTGCACATCCCCATGCCCAGGAAATAAATAAAACACATGTTGGGTGCATGCTGCTGCTCTGCATTTTGGGCCGCCTGCAAGCTGCTCTGAACAACGGGGCTTCAAGTCCAGTAGAAGCTGCACCTATGTCACACTGGCTCAGATGTGGCGATACAAAGGGTCAGAATAGAAACTAATCTGGTCTATTTGTGAGGCCGATGACAACAGACACCATTTTGCAGGACTACAGAGCCCTGAGCTCTGCAGCACTCTGAGAGTTTTCATGACAACGAGCAAAGATCTTCAGTGCAGTGACTGTCACAATGAGTTAGTGACATCTTGTGTGAGGAGGAAAGGAAAGGAGACGAAATCAATGCTGCTTTGGGAAAGCTCCGAGATCAGCAGTCAGAATCTGATCTGTTAGCAGCCTCCTTAGAAGCTGCAGACAGGATGTCTATAAGCTTCTACAGTATCAGCCCTTCTGCTGAAAGCTTCCAATTTTCCAGAGTCCATTAAATAAAGAAAAAAAGAGGGAAAAACACTCCCCTCCCAAAATATGAAACAAAATACACTGTCATGAGTGGGGCCGTGCATGGAAACTGTTGTGTGCTTTCACCTTCAGAGCTGTGAGGCCACATTCACATGGATGGATAGCGATAAGACAAGGGGGAATGGTTTTAAAATGAGACAGGAGAGGTTTAGGTTGGATATTAGGAGGAAGTTTTTGACCCAGAGGGTGGGGAGGCACTGGCACAGGTTGCCTAAGGAGGCTGTGGATGCCCCATCCCTGCAGGCATTCAAGGCAAGGCTGGATGTGGCTCTGGGCAGCCTGGGCTGCTGGTTGGTGACCTGCACACAGCAGGGGGTTGGAACCAGATGAGCACTGTGGTCCTTTTCAACCCAGGCCATTCTGTGACTCTATGATTTGGGACAGGGAACACAAAGTCAGACACGTGCCACCATCACCATTTCGTTTTTGGCCTGAGTTGCACCCCAGGAGAGAAGGGGCTGCCAACCTTGCAGATAAGTGTGGTGACAATTTCAGCAACTCCACGTCTCACCTCCCACCCGCAGCTCCTGACCCACTGCTGGGTTTAAATGCACAGCTGCAAGAAAGCATTTCAAAACCAAACAAACAAAACAGCGGCTGGGAGCAAAGAGAAAGCATTGGGGAGCCGTTCCCGTACCTTTATGCAGGTTCTCCAGGGGCTCCAGGATCCCCCTGCGGAAGGAGGCCATGGGGTCCTGCACGCAGGAGCGGAGGCTCAGCATGCTCTGCAGGTGGGGCTCACGCAGCAGCTGCTCCCGATAGGCGACGAATTGTGGTGAGCGGCACAGCAGGGCGGCCACGTTGTGCACAAACTCGGGCACCAGGCAGGTGTAGGCGTTGTCTGCCTGGCAGTAGTGATAGGCGACGACCTGCAAGAGAAGGAAGGAAGGACGAATGCACCTCTGCCAGAGCTCTGCCACATGGCACTGTGTGATTCTGATGCGTTCTGGCACGTGAGCTCTTTGAGGATCCCCAGCGTTAAGTGCCCATGACAAGGATCCTCATGAACCGCTGCGTGCAAACTGGCACTGATCCTGAGAATGACTGGAGCAATGAAATTCTGCTGGTGCTGCTCCCCAGGCAGGCACTGACAGCACTCCCAGCTCCACCTAACAGCTGGTAAGGGCTTGGGATTGCTTTCTTCCACTTACTTCTTGCTGGTTGCTCCCCAGTGCTGGGTGCTGAGAGGCCACTGCATGGCTCCTGCTGGAGGCAGGGCTGCATGCAATGGATCCCACGAACAATGAGAACACAGTGCTGTGCATCGCCCATCCGCCACCATGCAGCCCTTCATTCAGAAAATATAGGGAAAAGATAGAAGAACCCTTCTTCTTCTCCTAGATCAACTCATTTTCCCAGGTCTACTCAATTCGCTGGGCTACTCCTTCGAGCATCACACCTGCATACGTGTGCCTAAGCTCACAACAGAATTTTTGCTACCATATACTCAGTGCATCAAGCCATAATAAACACAATGATTTCTTTCTCATTTATTTGGGGATTAAAACTGTGATTCCTGCAGTATAAAGGTCTTGAACCGCCCTCCCGTGATGCCTGGTAACAGAACGTTACCTTGATGTTCCTGGTAACAGAAATCAAACTCCTACATGCAGAGCTCTTAGCTCCAGCACAGTATGCAGACCTAAAAATGAAGGCCACTTCGTTATGAGAGGCTCATCAGCTTCATCCAGGAGCCACGTCATGGGAAAGGGGACAGAACTGTCCTTGGAGGGCACAGTCAGTGCTAAACGTGGGGACACGTTTCCTTCTTCTGGAAAACACCCACAGTTACAGCACAGCTCATGGGAACCCATTACATCCACTCCTGATACGTGGGATGGAATTATCAGCATCCTGATGGTTGCCTGCAAGATCAATGCAGTGCTTAAGGGGCGGACCTGAAGATGCACCAGCAAGCAGGGAGGACATCAGAAGGGCCCTGAAGGAAAGGCACTACGATGCTCTCAGAAATGCAACTGCACAATGTCAGCTTGATGGTATTTATTCTCCATGACATTTTCTCCATTTCAAACCCAAAAGAGACTGCCAAAAGTGAGCGTGGTGCTGGGAAGCAGGCTCCCTGCCTATCTCAGAGCTGCCTGCCAAGCAGCTCTCTCATCCTACAAACTCCCAAAGCTTTCAGAATTTTTTCCTGCTCCACCTTCAGCAACAAGAACTGGGTTTTACCCAAAAAACCAAAGCAGGAGACCTCAGGATAACCTAAAACAAATGATCCTCTGGCTGTAATTCTGACTGTAACAACAGCCTCACTCACACAGAGAAGCCACGAGCACATCCAAGAACTAAAAACAGGAACCCACCTAGCCTGGAAATGAAGAACCCACTGAAAAAGGTGAGTTCGTTTTCTGGAAATCTCATTTCTTTGCTGTAAAAGAACTTTGCTGAACTGCTGAGAAGGCTCCAATCAGCTCTTGTCATAAACAAAAACCTTGAATTTAACGTTCCATCTTATCTGGAAAGTGTTACAACAAAGGAAATCCCCAGGGAACAGCCTGCTCTCCCAAAGACAGCGGTCTGCCTGGATGCCCAGTGAATGTGCCTTCGCTTCAGCCATCGCCTTTGGCAAATGATGTTCACCAAGGTGGAAGCTGTGAAGTTCCTTGCTCCAATTACTGCCTCAGACACAAGTGAATGGTGCCTATAAGGAGTCCTAGTGCAAAATAAGTGGATTAAGATGGGAAAATAACGCGTTAATTGAGAGAACCAACACAACCCGGCAGTTCGTGCTCCTGTGCCAAACTCTCCAAGCTGGGAAGAAGGCATCACTGTGCAGTGGCTTCACACCACAGGTGGGTTCTGAGGATGGAGCTCCATCTCTTTCAAAAACAAATCTTCTGATTCTACTGCTCTGAATGGGATCTCTTAGAAACAGCAGAAAGAAAGCCAGTGAAGACTTGCAAGGACGACTTTCCTAACATCATTTGGCCTCCAGTGCGTTGGCTGCACACCAAAGAAGTACACTTATCATGAGCTTTTAGGCATCTTTTTTTAATATTAATGATGTGCTACAGGGCTTGAGAAACACCAGACATGGGGAAGGCGGATGCTGCCTCTCATGGTCCACAGCCAACACTCGTGGGTACCAACACAACACAACCCCTCCTGATGTGGGGTCAGGGAGCACCTGAACCTTCCCTTCCTCAGGAGAGTCACACTGACTCATCTTCCTAATTGTGAATGCAGAATTAAGAAGTAAATTATCCATGTGCTCTTCAGGTATTAAACCCAGAGAGCCTTCTGTCCCTGTTTTTCCCAACACCAGCCATGCTCTTCTTTCCACCGCACCACTCCCCATGTCTCCCTCTACCCAAACTCCTGTACCCATCTCAATCCAGACTGCCTTTCCTCTGCCCTGCTTTGCTCCATTCTCGCTCACCCTCTCCAGGATGCTGTGTTTGCTGTCCAGCCCAGCCCAGCAGAAGTGATTTCTGCTCTGCCCTTCCTGCAGCTCTCCCTGCCCCTCAGCCCTGCACTCTGCTCCCTGGGGCTGCGCTCCCCATTTCAGCTGCTTTGTGCAACACGGGTGTTAAGCTTTGCTGAACCCAAAGGGGATTTTGGTTCAGCTGAGAAAGAACTGCATGTGAGGAAGAAAAATAAAAAAAAGATTTCCCCATATAGATCAGATCTACGAGAACAGCTATTTGAAGAAAAAGGATGACACGTTAAAAGCAGCGCAGCTATTCCAAGAGTAACAGAAGATGCTGTTGGAACAGGAGGGAGAGCTATGGGAAAGCAGCAGGAAGAGAGCAGAAAGGGCACAGAGCAGGGAAAATGAGGAACAGAAGAGATTGTGCATCGCCCATAAAGCACAAAGGAGCAAAGAGAGTGAGCTGGGGGGGAAAAGAGGAGAGCTTGGGGGGATAGGCCAGGAGCAGGAATATGGAGCTGGGAGCAGTATGCATCAAAGGAGAAAGGGGCTGAGATGGCTCAGGGGAAACAAGTTATTTTTACTTAATAGGACAGGCCAGTTCAAAGGAGTTCTCTGGCACTATTTGTGACAAGCAATATCCTCCCTTTCAGAAGCATTCCTTTGCCATCACGCTCTGCTTGCCCTGTCTCAGGTCCCTCCTGATGGTTCCTCCATCCTCCTCCAGCCCCACCAGCCTGGATGGACAAACCCCACTTCCCTGCACCCACAGCAACCCCCCCCCCCCCAAGGCCCCCGGCTCCCACCCAACCACTTCAGCACTGCATTCTAGCCATATTTCTGCCCCTAATAAGACTGATCTCCTTTTGACCCGTACAAAACAGCTTCGAGTCAATGTGCTTCCACCTGCCAAAAGGCCGCCTGCCACTCAGAACGTTGGCTGTCATCATATAAATAGAGATCAGCACGGCTGTGTTTTATTCACTGCACATGACCGGTGTGTGTGGATGGGGTGACCCACTTTATGAGGAATGCTCATTATTTTTAGACAGCTGAGTTTGCCAGCAAATGCCCTCTGAAGCTCATTAATGTCACAGGGCTCAGAGAAACTAATCCTTCCACCTCCACAAGAGGTGGGAGGGCTCCTTTCTTTCCATAGCCCACAGCAATGGTAGTGATGCTCTGCCTTACGGCTGGAAGGGTGGGGAAGGAAGTCAGCAGAGTGAGCTACGCAATGAAAAAGCAGCTCCCCAGCTCTGTGTATGGGATAATCCATTAGTGCTGTGCTGCCTTTCAGGCTCATCTGTTTAAGTGCTGCATCCACAAGCAGCCAGCCAGCAGCCAGAAACCCAGCAAAGATGGTTTTCAGTGGTTATTTAAACCGTGTACTGAAGCCATCAACAATCCTGTGTGAATAAAGGACAACACCTTCAGGGATAGTGGGGAAGTGATCCTAACCAGAGGGGACACGGCCACACTTCTCCCCTCCTGAGCTGAACCCGTTGTGCTGTGGCTGTCAGCCCTTGCTGAGATGCAGAGGTCAGTGGGATGTGGCTCCGTGCTGCTCAGACATCGCTGGGCTCTTTCTGCTGAGCTGAAGCACCAGCTGAATGCAACCCAGGAAGATCTGGGGGTGAGGAAGCTGTGCCACACTGACTGAGCCACACCACTCACCCACCCACTCAGAGGAAGTGAAATTTGAACGTACTGCAATGGAGGAGAGTAAAAAAACAGGAAGAAAAAGGTACAAAACAGCAGAGGTGTGGAGCACATCTTGGATTTAAAAGCCTTGCAATTACATAGAATTATAGAAGCAGAGAATGGCCTGGGTTGAAAAGGACCACAATGATCATCTGGTTCCAACCCCCTGCTGTGTGCAGGTCACCAACCAGCAGCCCAGGCTGCCCAGAGCCACATCCAGCCTGGCCTTGAATGCCTGCAGGGATGGGGCATCCACAGCCTCCTTGGGCAACCTGTGCCAGTGCCTCACCACCCTCTGGCTGAAAAACTTCCTCCTAATATCCAACCTAAACCTCCCCTGTCTCATTTTAAAACCATTCCCTCTTGTCCTATCACCATCCACCCTCAGTAAACAGTTGTTTCCCCTCCTGTTTTTATGCTACTTTCTAACACTGGAAGGACCTTTCAAATATTGGAGCAACCTTGCAGTTGCTCTGTGCAATCAAACAATACGTTTACAAGCACCGAGGAACCCAGATGAGTTTAAGAACAACACAGAGCTCTGCTCTGCTGTGCTCAGCTCACCAGAACACTGCTGTGCATCTCCTGCAGGATGAGCCCAGGCTGGGCAGCCTTCCTGGCACTGCTGAGATCTGGCAGCTGCTCCACGGCAGAGGGCTGCTTTCAAATGCATCCAGCAGCCCTGTGAACTTATTTCCATAATGTGTGCATAAATATATTTGAACAAAAGGCCAACCAAGCACGCAGCCAGGAATGCTCATGTTTCACGTGCAAGTGTCAGGGTGGGTGCTGCAAGTCAAGTAGCTTTGCTTGTGGCTTCTGAGCCTGCCAGATCTGGCAAGACAAACCCTGCTGTCCTCCCTCTTTAAGCTACAGACTGCTGCAGAGGGCAGGGATGGAGTGGAGATGGAAGAGGAACTTTGCAGGCAGGAGCTGCCCAGCAGGCTGTACCTCCTCATGGCTGGGGGACGCCTGTGGCCCTGCTGCCTCCGCTCCTCTGGGGCTGGAGGGGAAAAAGGGCTCTGTGCCAGCAAAGTTCCCAGCAAGAGGATTAATGCTGCCTTTAAAAAATATATTGGGAAATTGACAGAAATCACTGCTAAGGAACAATGAACGCTGCCATGCATTTAATACTGCTAGGTGAGTTGTGCTGCTCTCAATGCTGTGTTTCCTGGTGCATTACTCCATCCCTCTCCAAACAGCAGCACCCAACCGCAGCCTCCAATGCAGCCTGGGGTTGGCAGCAGGACTTGGAGCTTTGCCTTTCCCCCAGCACTCCCTGTGAGTCCCACCAGCACCGGGCTGCAGTGCTTACATGGAGCATCGCTGCACTTCCAGCATTTTCTGCACTGATCCCTCAGGGTGGCCATCACACCACTTCCACTTACAGCATCTCAGGAGGATGGAGGGGTAAGGGGAGAAACGACAAAAGGAACAGAGCAATCTCAGTTTTAAGCTCCTTGTTTTCTTTCATTAGATGCCCCCAGAGCGCATCCGACCCTTCCTACCACAACTGCTGCTCACACAACAGAACCCATTCCTGGTCCAAGGGAGGGCAGTGATACCATGAATCCAACAGCAACCAGCAGGGCTGGGGGGGACAGGACTTGGCCCACTCTTCATGATGGCTTTTTTCCTCCTAGGAACCATTGGCAAGAACTTCAAAAGACCCTTAAATGAGTCGGGGTTGGCTTGTTTCCCATTGCAGGGTGGAAAGCACCCAGTACTTTTCTGTACATCGGTTCATTCCTAAGCATTTTGCTCCGTTTGCTGGTGAACACCAAACCTGAGGATAAAGCAAAACAATGCTCTTTTCCAGCGTGGCAAAGAGGAAGAGAGGAGCCTTAGCAGTGCTCCTGCTGGTGGGCTGCAGGCACTTCATTTTCACATTAATCATTTGCTCATCTCCAACAACGAGAGCGATGAGCAAACCTCAGCCCAAGGAACTCACTGCGTGAAGAACAGACAGCCAAGTCCCACCCTGAGCATCCAGAGGAGGAGAAGCAACTGTTCTCCTGTCATTCCTGCCACCAGAAGCACACAGCTCCTCAGTTTGGGGTAGGTGACATTTTCAGAAGGAAGGGAGTGGGCACTTCCCACCAGCATGCTGCTCCTTCAGCCTCCCAAAATATCAGTGATCCTCTTTCATGCCCACCTGCATTGCTCTGACATGATGACCACTGCACAGCCTGGAAAGCAGAACATGCACACGCTGTTATCTATCTCCTCACATATGATTCGTATCTCCTAACAGACTCCTGACTGCAGCTGTCCATCACTGTCACCACTTTCTTTCTCCCTTCAATTCCAACCTGTTCCATTAAAGCAGCAACTACAGAACGTGTGTGCAAGGACTGTTCTTCCAACAGCCCAACCTAAGGGTCACCCTTTCTTCTTCAGCCAGTGGAACAAGAGCTTTAAGCAGGCTGCCAGGAATCCGTATTTCATTCCTCAGCTCCTGATGCAGGAACATGCTTTGCTCTCCCTTCCTCCTGAACCAAAGCATTTCTCCTTTTCTTTCTCAGATGGGGCCCTGGGCACAGAGTTGAGCTTAGCAATGTGAGTGTTCTCCTGCCCTGTAGGAACACGTGGCCTCAGACCCTCAGGTGCCTTTAACCACAAATGCTGACGGAGACCATTAGGGCCATTTGCTCTATTTCAGACTCCAGCACCTTCAAAGCCTCGAGCAACCAACACATTTGTGATTTCTCAATGGCAACTTAGACACGTGTGACCGAGTTTCCGACCGAGGGGATCACACACAGAACAAAGAGCTCAGAACTGTTATTTTAATGGATTTTCAATTACATTGCCGGGTCAGTAAATCCTTTTTCTCCCAGTGTCACTCAGAGACTTCAAAACCTGTGCAGCTGTGGAGGAACAGGCAGTGTTTGTTTTACCTGGGAGGACATCATACAGCACTGCTCCTTCTGAGCAAACCCATTTATCTGCTGCTGACAGCACGCATCCAGCAGTGGTGCTGAGCTCTGCCCTGGATGTTACAGGAATGCATCACAACCTCCAGCCATCCTTTGACCAACACCCTGACCCATTTCATTTGCCTTTACTTCCTTTCCTGACGCTTGCTGATCCATCAGGCTGTGTCTGTGACATGCTGGACTGCTCTGATGCAATAAAACCAGAACTGCTTTTGGTATGGAACTGAAACATGCAAGGTGAGAGAAACCAAACCTCAAGGCCTGCTACATTTTCAGTACAAGTCTGTTTTTGTGACAGGATGCCATGCTTTGAATCAGGATTTGAACCCATGCTGAACTGCAGTGACTCCATACAAGCCTGCGTGGGGTTGGAGCCCAATGACCTGCAAGGTCCCTTCCAACCAAAGCCACTCGATGGCTCTGTGCTGCTGAAGCACGACAGCACAGCAGCACTAGGAATGGACCCCAACCTCCTGTGTGGAGCTACGAAGCTTCCCCAAGTTCCTGTGTGCTGTGTCAGCCACCTGAGCAGCAGAAGCCATTCCCAGAAGCTCCAGGTCAGCTCATCACCCCTGGCATCCACCTGCTCAGGGCGGCCTCACGTTGGAAGGAAGCAGTGACATTTACTTCTGTCTGCGTTTGCAGCATTGGAGGCTGACTGGGAGATGAAGAATTGCAGCAGAACGCTGCAGTCCCGCAGTGAGCACTGGAGGTGGCACATCACCCCAACCTTTGGCTATGGGATGAATGGGGCTTTAAAACCCCCTCCTAAAGGGGTGTGCAGCCAAGCTATTTTAACTTTACATTTTGGCTGTGAAGATTATTTCTTATTCTCATAACCAGTGACCAGAGATGCAAAAAAGCTTCAGTGCATCTTTTGTGCTCCAGCTATGACACACAGCTTGAAAAAGCCACATCCCTCACCTTCTTCAGTGTGAAACCGAAGCTAAAACTGTACCCATTTATCAGTTATGTATCCAGCAGGATTACTGAAGCACTCAGGGGAAGAAAGTCTGGACAGATTAGGTGCTTGAGGCAGAGATAGCACGCATTGCTGCCTTCTGGCAGCCTGTAATGGTGAAGATTGACAAGAAGCACGATGACTAACGCGCTCTGAATGAAAGCAGAGCTGCCCGCTGCATTCCTTTCAAGAGCTCCATGTGGAAGAGGAGAATATCAAGTCCCAGTATTTATTTACACAGTAATTGCACGCTCTCTGCCTTTGCCATCTGGGTGCAGCGGAAAGCAGACAGCACAAGACAGTATCTGGCTCTGAAAGCCAAGCAAAACACGTCCCGGTGGTGACAGAGAACAAAGACTTTGCTTGGTATTTTCCTCTCCAAAGGGGAACAGGCAACAGGAAAGCATCACTGCTCACATCCTCCAAACCCTGGGGGAGGAGCAGGCCCTTTGGATTTCACAGCAACACAACGGCACCTTCCCACCATCACAAAATAGGGCTAAATCCCAGGATCACAATGAAACGCGAGCTGCACAGCTCACCCACACCAACAAACACCACTACGTACAACCAGCACTTATCAGAACACCAAGGCATTTGTGTAGTGCTCACAGCAGGCTAGGATCTGTTCTGCACCATCCATGTGCACCCCATGCAGCCTGCTCCTTTACTGCTGTTTGAAACCCACCCCTTTCAAAGGGAAGCAATCTGCTTTCCACTGCTGAAGAAAAGCAATGGTCACTCTGGCAGCTGTGCCATCCTGTAACACATCTGCTACTGCAATGGTGGCTGGAAAAAATCAAGTCTCACGATTAGAGGTGAGTGCACTCGATGTAACGGGAATTCCCTCCTACAGCAGAAACTTTCTGAGGGTAATAAAACTCCTTCCAGGAGTTCTTCCTCTCTGCTCCCCCAGGATGCGCACTTTTCCCAGCTGCCAAAGCGGTGCAGGACAGGAGAGCTTCCCAGAGATCCCCATGACAACAGAGAGTTTCCCAAGGCCTGCAGCCATCCCAAATGTTGCCATACCTGGGAAGCGAGCCGCCTCATGGCCTCCTCCTGGCGCCGGCGCATCTCGGGGGTCCCCGGGCAGCTCCCACTGGCGATGGAGGAGTGAGCAGAAGGCGGTTGGGTTAAGGGCAGCTCTCTGTTTGCATCCACGTCTGTCTCAAAGAAAGAGGTTTGGAACTGCTGAGGGATGAGCACAGCCAACAGCCGTCACGCTGGTACTTCCCAGCAGTCTGTTCCTGGCAGTGGCACCTTCCACCAATGCTCTGCTCTGCACTATGGGCAGTGGGGGAAGGTGACACCTCCAGGCAGCACGGAGCTCCTGGGGAGCTTTCTTTCGGGAGCTGGATGGGAAGGGCTAAGATAAAGCTTTAAGCTCATTGTCCTCATCTTCTCCAGTGTAACTTCATTGATTTAAATCACAATGAGTGAATAGAACACTCATGGAAGTATGCTCTACCTTTGAGTTTGGGCTATCTCAGAGCTCTCCATGCTCTGCACTTTGGCTAACAGGTCTTCCTTTGTTAGGAACCATCACTCACTAATTTAGTTCTGGGTTTTCCTTGAATGGAGACAGAAAATTGCTCTGAATGATGTGCCGATTTTACAGCATATATCAACAGTGTGCTAGAGCCAATGTTTCTTCTGAAGGCCACCAGTGCTATCAGAGGGAGAGAAGCAAGAGCAGCACCACGTTCTGGACAAGTCTTGTAAGTAAATAATGAATTACATTGGGATCACCTCTGCCAGATGTGATCTGCTTCTTATTGCATTTCAGCCATTTCTCTTGCATTTTAGAAAAGCAGAAAGCTTTAAAAGCAGAACAGTTCACTCACCTGGCCTTTGTGGTTAACATCCCCAAACTACTAACCTTCACACTCATAGGCACTCAGAGTATTACTAAATGACATTAAGATATGCAGAACTTGGTGATGCCTAATTACTGATTTATCAGTTACAGGAATGCTTTAAAAGCAGCAATCTGAAGCACAGACTGCACTGGCAGAGGACTGGCCTGGATAGATAGCTGCAATGCATCCTTGAGCTCAACCTGAAATCATAATGGAAACAATGACCCACTTAATGGCAAACAACGAAGGAGGACAGCTGTGCCTATGGAAGCAAAGACGCACAATGTCAGTTTTGAGCATGCAACACTACCTTCACCTGCACTGCTTTTCTGAGCCAGGAATTAATGGTATGAGGCTGCATTTATTCCAGTTTGCTAATGCTGATAACACAAGTGCTGCAGTACGGTCAGGGCAGCCAGTTAGCGTTTTATTGCTCAACACAGACATTACAGAGCTTCTTCTTTCAGCTTCTTTCAGCCTGTGAAATCACTAGAGCAGCTCTTATCTTCTAGAGCTACACTCAGGGCTTTTGTGGAGGCTTCAGAAAATAAAACTGAGTGATTCTAAAGTCCTCACCTCAGTGACTGACACCAAGGAATCACTCAGCTTTAACCTCACAGCACACCTGAGTGTGAACTCAAGGGCTGCACTGGATGAGCGAGGATCTCTGCTCTTTGTGCATGAATGGTGCATGAGGGGTGCTGTTCAGTGCAGTAATCTTTTAAATCCCACAATCATTCCCAGCAGACTGGGGAGGCTCTCCTCTGCAGAGTTACAGCTAAAATATAGAAACCAGGCCTGCCTTTCACCCTGCACTGCTGGGTTAGTGCTGACAAGTGGCACTCCTCAACACGGCACCGAGCGGTGACATCTCAGATATCTCTCCATGGCTCAGAGCACTGGATTCCAGTAAACAGATTTAACCACAGTGTCTCTGAGATACACTGACCTAGATCCTTGAAGATGTCCTTAGGTACAGAACCTGGTATTTTTAGTCCTGTCTTACTTACTAGGAGCAGAGTGGTTGGAAAATGCTGCCATCTCCACCTGCAAACTGAATGGGATTGGGAGGCAGAGCAGTCCTGGCTGCCAAACCCACATGGGGTTCTACAGCATCACACACTGAGTCTGTATGGGAAAGGAGGAGGGCAACAAAATGACAGAATGGCTTAGGTTGGAAGGAACCCCAAAGATCACTGGGTTCCAAACCCTGCCACAGCAGGGCCACCAACCTCCAGTGCTGGGACTGGAGCAGGCTGCCCATGGCCTCATCCAGCCTGGTCCTGAAGAAAATCCTCAGAGAGGATTTGTAATCATAGAGTACCTGCAAGAAGCATTGGAGTCTTTCTGATGGGAGAAAATCTGTGATCCTTCTAAGGCAGGGAATAAAGAGACAGCTATAATGACCCTTCACAGAGTACATTTGCATCACAAATAGCACAAACATTCCTGGCAGCTGCTTCCTTTGCTCTGCAACAAAGACTAAACTGAAAGAGAACTGGATCTTTTTCCCTAAGAACACTGCAGAAGTAAAAAGACAAGGGTTAGGGTTAGGGTTAAGGTTAAGGTTGGGTTAGGGTTAGGTTAGAAGGTTAGGTTAGTATTAGTTAGGTTAGGATTTGGTTAGGGTTAGGATTAGAGTTTGGTTAGGGTTAGCGTTAGGTTAGGATTAGGCTAGGGTTAGGGTTAGGGTTTAGTTAGGGTTAGGGTTAGGGTTAGGTTAGGACTTAGTTACGGTTAGGATTAGGCTAGGATTAGGGTTAGGGGTAGGTTAAGTTAGGTTAGGTTAGGATTAGGGTAGGTTGCTAGGATTAGGGTTAGGTTAGGTTAGGGTTAGGTTAGGGCTATGTTAGGGTTAGGGTTTAGTTAGGGTTAGGGTAGGGTTAGGTTTAGTTAGGGTTAGGGCTAGGTGGGGCAGTTTAGGTTATGTTGGGTTAGATTAGGTTAGGCTCTGGATAGGTGACAGTCAGCTTAGTTTCGGGTCAGGGTTTGGTTAGGGCTGCAGGCTTTGAAGAGCTGCACAGGGCCACACTTACGTTTGGGTGAGGCGTGCGGGCTGTCAGATGCAATCTGCCTCATGCGAGTGCCGTGGCAGCTGAGTGCAACCAGCCTGGAGATGATGGCAGTCTTCCCAAAGCCGATGTTCCCCACGATCACCACACCGCGGTTCACGCTGGCGTTGGAGCTCTGCAGCTGTGCATCGATCTCGTGGAACACCCAGTCCCGGCCCACAAAGACGGATTCGGTGGTGATGCTGGGGACCTCGAAGAGCAGCGGCTTCAGGGAGATGTCTGGAGGTCGGTAGGGTGCAAAGCGCACTGCAAACAAACGCCGGGACAGAACTGTGTGTTAATGCTAAGTGCGCGTAACTACTGGCCTGATCGCTGTTTGTTGGGCATCTTTTTGTTGCAAGAGGGAAAAAGAATTGAAGCTAGTACGGACATTCCTTGCAGCTGCTTCATTTGCTCTGCAACAAAGGCTAAACTGAAGGAGAATGGGGTCTTTTCCACTAAAAATATCACAGAAGTGGGTGGACAAAGGAGAAGAGAAAGCTCCAGGGAGACCTTGTTGTGGCCTTCCAGTACTTGAATGGAGAGTATAAACAGGAGGGGGAACGGCTGTTTGTGGGGGTGGATGGTGATAGGACAAGGGGGAATGGTTTTAAAGTGAGGCTGGGGAGGTTGAGGTTGGATATTAGGAGGAAGTTTTTCATCAGAGGGTGGTAAGGCACTGGAACAGGTTGCCCAAGGAGGCTGTGGATGCCCCATCCCTGCAGGCATTCAAGGCCAGGCTGGACGTGGCTCTGGGCAGCCTGGGCTGCTGGTTGGCGACCTGCACACATCAGGGGGTTGGAACCAGATGATCTTTGAGGACTTTTTCAACCCAGGTCATTCTATGATTCCATGACTCGGGCTCCAGCCCCTAGCACCCAAGAATACCCCTTGTTTGTCCAAGAACTCAGTAAGCAAAGCCCACCCTGCCAGAAATGAAGTTTATGAGCACAGCCCAGCCCAGTGTGCAGGGACAGGTAAGGCCCTGTGTACCACAGGAAGCACTCCTGACCTGCCACACACACTGCAGCACCAGCAGCCAGAAATGCAGAAGCTGGCTGGGCTCATTTCCCCACTTCTGTATGCAAGCTCATCTTTTGAAAAGCTCCTCAGAGCCTAGCAGGAGGAGGGAGGAGAAATTCAAGTGCATCCCTTTGGCAATCAAGGGAAAATCAGAAGCGTTTGTGGGTTAATTAATTCCTCTGAAGGTAATGAAAGAGAGCTACAAATGGCTTCATTGCACGCGGAATCTTTTCATCTCTGTTTAAAAGAGGCACGAAGCACCAAAAAAGCAGCCTGCTATGTTTTGTTTTTATCTAATGACTTGGCCATAGCTGGAGTTTGTTTCCATGATGAAATTAACACCGTCATTTGCTTCTATGGGCTGCCAGAGTCAGGGCAGCTGGGGACATTCCTCAGCTCTGCATCCCAGAACAGCCCATGGTGGTGGGTTGGAACCAGCTGATTATTAAGGTCCCTTCCATCTCAACCATTCTATGATTCCATGTTGTCCCCTCCTTGCAATGCTAAGGATTCCAAAGACATTGGATCTCTGGGCAGGCACAGGGACTGCTGCATGGCTTCTGCTGCTGCCATGCTCAGCTCTCGGCTCTGCATTCGTTCCACCTTTGGATTATTATCAAGTGAATAACTAAAACTAAACCAGTCTGGAAACCTTTGCAGGAACATTTGGGGGTGGAGGGAGAAGGTATCTGCCGTTCTTTCCACTCAGTGCAAGCTATCTAGGGAACACAGGCCTAAAAAAAGCAGGAGCTCCACACCAACCCGGTGCCAACCTGGGAACAGAAGGATCAACTCATACGGCTTGTTCTGCCTGGAAGGTCTGTAACTGGGAGATGATACATATATACCCAAAAAAGAAATGGATGGAAGCACTTTGTGCTGGCAGAGACAGCTGCTGCTCCTTCACACTCTATTGCTGAGATGATTTCTTAAGGGGAAACTTTCGGGAAGTGGCCACGCAGACAGCAGGTGACTGCTTTGGTTTTAAAACACGGAGCTCAGACTGGGGGTTGGTAAGCTGCAGCTCTGTGCCTATGGGATGGGTGAGTGAGTGAGGATGTATGGCAGTGCTTTCCTGAAAGCAGCATGGAGCCCATGCAGATGTGAGCCAGATGGTCACCAGGTACCAAATGGCCTCAGGAGCTAATGAAAAGATGTCCCTAATTAAGCTGTGGGACACAGTTTACGTGGGGGGCAAACAGACTTAAATCCCCATTTCTTTCCAGAAGGGAGGACGGATGCATTGCCAACTGCTGCATCCCATAGAGACAAAGGCTGTCCTAAACTTGGACATGAATAGGCACAGCCCTGAAGAAGGCTCAACATGGCCCCAGCAGAGATGTGCTCACTTGTCTGCCAAGTCTTGCAGCCCTGTCAGCCCCTTGGGTCACAGCAGAGCAAGCCAGCAAGCTCCATGCAGAGCTCCAAGTGATGTAAGGCTCTGCTGAGCCACAGCTGCAGCCTCCACCAGCTCCATTCTGCAGAACAACAAATCCTTGCTCTCAGAAGCTGAGCTGATAGCTAAGGACTGAACAAAATGCAATGAAGCACCAGGTCACAAGAGAAGGGGAAGCAGGGAGAAGGGAGGCAGCATTGCAGCTTCAACACTTGGGGCAGAAATTAATGAAAGGATAAATCAATGGAAAGAACTCTGAAAAAGAGGCTGAAGAGGCTCAGAAATGTGGGGTGAGGACGTGTGCACACATTTTGGATGAACTGTTTTAGTCCTTGAACTGACTTCAGCCCTTGCAAAACACACAGCCAGTAAAATTAAAACACTGACAAATGCTTGGTTTGTATTCATTTCCAATGAGGCATTATGTAGAACTTAGGCTGGAAACACCCAGAACTTCTGATAATATCTTATCATAACTTAAACCCTTATCCTTATGGGTATCAGAGTGGGACAGCATCAAATCTGGCAGCATCACATTTTCATGGCAGTGTAACAGCATCAATGAAATACTGTGCAAGCTTTGGTAGAGTCTGAGAAATATTCTCAACCCCAAGCTGAAGCACTGTCTGCCACATCTCTCCTGGCTCTAATTTTTCTTTTTGCAGCTGAAAACATCAGTTAAATCCAAGTGAAGTGGTTGTACTACATGCACAACTGAACAAAACCCACTGGGCTGCCAACAAGCAGGAATCACAGCTCACCCTGCACCACACAGGGCGTCCTCTGCTGCTTTTCTTTTAAGTTTGTGTCACCTTACTTTGCTGAAAGAACCTTCAATGCCTGTCCAGAAACCACCTGCCTTCTCAGACTGCTGACAACCAGCGCCCACAGCTCATTATTTGTTTGGTACTTTGCTCCAGAAGCATTTGAGCTCCTGATGGAAATGCATCTTGCTGTCCAAAGGAAGCTCGTGTGGGGCTGAGATGCACAACGTGGGTATTGCCAACATCTTGAGATAAAGCCCGGGCAAGAAGCACTTTAATATTTATTACAGTGAAATGTGGTTCTGAATAACACAGTATCTATCAGCATCTAATGTGTTCTTTGGTAAATAGGAGCCCATAAATTAGACAAATGTTGAATTTATTTCCTTTCTTTGCTTCAGACTGCAGCTTCTTTCAAGTGTCATCTTAAGTGCCTCCACTCATCACCATGAAACCTGTGCCTATTTTTCATAGACTGCATGTCTGAAGACACTGGACTGTGCTGTAATAGACCCAAAAGGCTGCAGCATGGAATAAGCATCAGAGGGAAAAACTAAAAGTTACAGAAAAGAGTTTAAGGGAAACAACTGCCACACGGTCTGTATTGGCCAACAGTCCTGGTCCATTGCAGCATCGAGTCTGGGCACCCCCACTTGATGGGCTGGTGGTTGGACTGGATGATCTTGGTGATCTTTTCCAATGATTCTATGAGCCTCCATGCCCATGAGCCTCCCCAACCCAATGAGGTTCTCCCACTGCACCAGCGCTGCCATTCTGGGAGTAAAAGAAGTCCTGATGGCAGCAGCTGGGTGCTCTAACACTGCACCATTTGGGTGCCACCAGGATATATCCCAAGCACCACCTTGTACTTTGGATTGGAAGGAGCCCAGGGCAGTGTGGGCACTACTGGATAGCATCAACCCCCAGCAGGGCTTGGAACTGGGGGATCTTCAAGGTCTCTTTCAACCCAACCACTCTGTGGTTCCATTCCAGGTTACAAAAATCCATAAAGGCTCCAAATGGCTCTGGCTCAAAATAGCAACACCAAAAAGAGCCTGAACCATCCTATTAAAAACCTGCCACAGTACAGACATTGTAATGCTCTTAGCCTTGGGGATTACATTGCAAAGTTGCTCTTCTGGTTCAAATAACTGACTTAGCAGCACAAAAAAATAGCCAAGATGCCAAGATCCCCATTTAATTTCTCTGCACTGGGATTCATAAAGGCTGGGACCCAAATAAGTGGGCTGTGATGCATTTGCTGCACCCACAGCCCACTGGGTCCAAACCCCAACATGATGCCAAGAATGGAGGCAGTGAAGCTGAACTCAAGTTTAGCATTTCCAGCTGGAACAAAGAGCTGGAGATTGCAGCAGTGCAGATGAACGCAACCTCACAGAAATATCTGGGCTCCTTCATATTTTGGGGGAAAAAAGCCAATCCCAAATAATGTATATTCATTGAAATGAAAATATTTCCAAATACTGCTGGCTTGATTTTTTCACACCATCTTCTCTCCCCTCCTCTTTTTAAAAATAGCATCTTCTCTTCAACCGCAATCAGAAACAAGTTCCAAAAACCCAAACACTGCTGCTATTCCCATGCAACATGAAAAGGGAAAACACACAAAGGAAGGGAAGAAAGAGAACACGCCGCGCTACGTTTCTCAAAAGCGCGTCTGGAAAACAACTCGATTCTGTTCCTACAATAAACTCCCATGTTTTGGATGCAATCACTGCAAATTACGAAGGCTTGGCAAGCTGCTCTCCTCGAACATATGGAAATTCTGTCTGTCAAAGCTTGCTTTCTGCTGCTCATCCATTTCTGTAACAGCCTCACCAGCCAAGATGATTTCATGACAGACTGCGATCCAGCACAACACAAACGCTCTTTGCCCCACAAGGGGGGCTCGTGCTTTGTGCAGATCCCAGAGCCGCTTTCTCAGAGCAGCAATGGAAATTTTTACCTCCTCACCCTCAGCAGCAGAAGCCAAAGAAGCCCCTGTGTGTCGCCCTCTGAGCCCCTTGTGCTGTTTGCTCACTTGGTGATGGGAAGGAAGCACAAACTGGGGGATGTGCTGCGGTTGCAGGGCCACCACTGCTCCCACAGCTACTGGAAGCTCAAACCAAGAGTAACGGGATGGAAGGCCCATGGACACAGCGTTGCAGCAGTGCCAAATCTATCTGGAATCAAACAGAAGGTGGAACTGCCAGCCCTGGTGCTTCTTCTCATTGCTGATGACCTTGTGTGGGGCTTACCAGGAAGAAGCAGATGAGCCTCCCCCCCTCGAAAGGCCTTTGAGCAGCAAGAGGGACACCTGAAGGCCACCACCGTGAGCAGCCCCTGCTGCAGGGAGTGACCCCAAAGGGACCGAGGGGAGAACTCCCAACCCTCTGAATGAACCCAGCGCTCAGAAACAGGGGGACGTTGAGGAGCAAGCGGGGAGAGGAGCTCGGGGACCAACTGCAGGAGCATCCACACAGACCAGGAGAGCATCCCCCACCCAGCACAGCGACGCACAGACGCACGTGGCTCCTCATCCTACCTCGCAGGTCCTGCTGTGCGCGGGCTCCAGCCACGCTCTGCCGGGGCATGCGGAGGGAGGTGCGCAGGGGGGTGTGCCTCTGCTCATCCAGGTATGCCAGGTCCTCCAGGTGGGCCGAGCTGGTGGCTGCCAGAGAGAGGAGAGCCCATCTTAGCTCCCGTTTCCTTTTGTCAGCAAAGCATGCAGGTATATATATATCAATACCATGAATCAACGCAGCTGGGATGAGGCAAGGCTGATTTCCCATAGCTTGGAATGAAGAAGTGTTTTGGTAATGGTTTCTCGTACCCTGGTGGTGTTTGCTCTGGGTTGCTCCCTTGTCAACGTTCACAAACAACAAAGACAAATGGAGACACTTATATCTGATATCCCCCAATACAGAACTCACTCAACCTCCACGCACATGGTCTTTGATGGTCAGCATCTCCTGCTGTGTTACAGACAACTCAATAATGCACTGCATGTCTGGATATCAGGAAAAACTGATCTGAAAGAGCGGTGATACATTGGAGGAGGGTGCCCAGGAAGGTGGTGGGGTCACTGTCCCTGGAAGTGTGGGGATGTGGCACTGAGGGATGTGGTTGGTGGGCATGGTGGGGGTGGGTTGGGGTTGGGTTTGGTGATATGAAAGGGATTTTCCAGCCCTCATGATGGTGTGATTTTATGCTGAACTCCACAATCCTTCAACTCTGTAAGAGCTACTTAGTTTGGATTTGGTCCCCTCCAACTCAACCATTCTGTGGTTCCACTCTGTCCCCTCTGTTACACTCAGGATCCCAAAGACATTGGGAACTCTGGGGAGGCACAGGGACTGCTGTGTGGCAAAAAACCTAAACCTTTGAGAGACCAGTAAAATTACACAACTAAAAGCAAAAAATGTCATCTGAACTAAAGAACATAACTTTACTGTTCCAAAGTCATTTCCTCACGGGAGAATCTAGTGATCTGCACAGAGCTGGATGGAGGCATTCAAAGCCAGGCTGGATGTGGCTCTGGGCAGCCTGGGCTGCTGGTTGGCGACCCTGCATATAGCAGAGGGTTGAAACCAGATGAGCATTGTGGTTCTTTTCAACCCAGGCCATTCTATCATTCTATGAATAGAAGTAATTTATTGCTCTCTGCCCATCTCTCACATATGTGCTCATCCATGCATCTTCCTGACAGCCCCATCCAGAACTCCCAGTGACCACGCAATGGTGCAGTGCTGCAATGCCTGCCCAGCACCCAGCTGCTCTGCACCATGCCCACCTCCTTCTGTTGACACATCCATTGCACTGCTGGGACTAAGCACCGTTTCTATTCCATTCTTGACTATTTGCTCACGTGCCATGACAAGATTCTTACATCAAATCAAAATAATTAATCGCGTGACTTCTCAAAAACTGCTGGCGAAGCCAACTCCAATTCCTTGCTGTGAAATGAGTAAACATTTGGGCAGACAAATAATATACCCCTCTGCTCACACAGCGCTGGGTCCTTCCTCTGGTCCCACAGCATGGGATTCACAAAGCAGAGAATTTCAGAATGAAGAGGAGCATTCCTTCCACCTGGCACCTAACGGACCTGCACAGATCTTTCCAACATCTTGTTGCAGCCAAAAATTAAGTGAGACTGAGAGATTCCCAGGATGATGATTTCCAAGAGAGATGTCCTGCACTCAGCCCCCTCTGGGCTCAATCAATTCTCTAGACCATCATCAGGGATAACCGGAGACATTCAACATCCTGGTAACTCCACTTCTTTATCCATCACCATTCAGCATATCAGCACTGACAGAAGCTCCTTTTTGCCACTTCGTATAACAACTTAAACCCAACATTCATTTTCCCTCCAGTTATCCATCAATATAAAAAAAAAACAACTTGCATTCTCTTGGAAAATTCCCATTACTCCCTGAGCAGAGCATCAATGCTATAATACGATCACTACCCATTTTTTTTCACTTGCAATCTCCACCTTCATGGGCACACCATGAAAATCCTACCTCTAACCACACTGTGTGACCACGAGACAGGGATTGTGCTGCTCACACAGCACAGAGCCTGCTGGTAACCATACAGGATGTTGAATGCCCATCTGTTCTTGACACCAATAGATGCCATGCATGATGTGGAGCATTCAAACCACACTGGACTCACAGCACTGTCAGTCTCACCTCTGTGCTGGGGAAGATCACGGATCAGATCCTCCTGGGAGTGATGCTAAGGCACGAGGAAGGCAAAGAGCTGATATGGGAGAGCCAGCATGGCTTCACCAAGGGCAAATCCTGCTTAACCAACCTAGTAGCTTTCTCCAATGGTGTCACTGCATCGATGGACATGGGAAGAGCCACTGATGTCAACTATCTGGACTTCAGTAAGACTTTTGACATGGTATGCCATAGCATTCTTCTTTCCCAATCGGAAGGATGTGGATTTGATGGGTGGACTGCTCAATGGATGAAGAACTGGCAGCAGGATCAAGTCAGAGAGCGGTGGACAACGGCTCCATGTCTGGATGGAGATCTGTGATGATGAGTGATGCCCCCAGGGGCCGCAGTGCTGGGCCCAATACTTTTCATCTCTTCATCAGTGACTTTGACAGTGGGGTTGAGTGCACCCTCAGCAGTTTGCTGATGACCCCAAGCTGTGGGGTGAGGTGACACACCAGAGGGACAGAATGCCACCCAGAGGGACTTAGACAGGCTGAGCAGTGGGCCCAGGTGAACCTCATGAGATTCAATAAATCCAAGTGCAAGGTCTTGCACCTGCGTCAAGGCAAACCCCGTTACCAGTGGAAGAACTGAGTGCAGCCCTGCTGAAAAAGACCTTTTTTCAGGGTCTGGATCAGGCCCTGGGCAACCTGATTGAGCTGTGGAGTCTCTGTGCATTGTGGGGAGTTGGGAGAGATGGCCTTCAGAGGTCCCTTCCAACTCTAAGGATTCTAACATTCCAACTTCTGTGATGGGGAGATGCTCCCAGCAGCACAGAGCTGCCCTTCTGCTCCCACCACCAGCGCTGCTGTGTCCAGTGCTCTGTCCCAGAGCATCCCTGCAGCACCCCCACTGATCAGCTGAGATTTATCTTTCCCATTTAGAACAGAGGAATAATTAAAGAGGCCTCCAGCCAGAGAAACAAAAGTCATTTTTTCCTGATAATGCACTGCGGTACTTCAAACATAATGCAAGATGAATTGATCTTATAAAATATACTATTAAACTCACAAAAGCTTCCCCTCAGTGGTGAGGTTTATTCTGCGCAGCAAGACACTGCAACTGCAGATAGAACACACAGGAGGAACAAATACCTCCTCAAAAATGATACCTGTGTGCTGCTGCTGCAATCCTTCCAGGGTCCCAATGAACTCTGAATATGGAAAAGGAGGCCCTGGCACGGAGCTGTGATGCAGCAGCCAAACACATGGGCTTGGTTTGCTCAGGGCAGAATGCACTGCTGCAAGGTGAGATCCCCATGCATCCCAACTCAGCATATTAATAAATACAATTTAGATTTAATGACATTGTGCTGGGCTGGACGTGTGCTCTAAGTGAGCAAAGAGGAGTCGAGCACAATTAAGTAATGTTACATTTTGGGTCTTATCTGAATTCCTTCTGTGCCTGGCTGGCATCGATTCTCTTTCCTCTGGGCAAAGCAGAAGGTGTTCACACACAGCTCCTGTGCTGCTTCTTCCTGGGGCCATCCCTGCATCTGTGTTCATCCAAAGGCCTGAATGCACAGCCTCAGTGCCAAGTGCCTCCTGCTGATTGCTGTGAGACACGCTGGAAGAATGCAAGATGAATGACTGCGTGTGTTTGCCTGGGATGCGGTAGGAAGAAAGCAAACACTGTTGCAGCTTTCAGTTTCTATGAACAATAAAAGAGTAAAACAGCAAAGCCAATGCATTCATGGCTCTGAGCCGTACAACTGAGCTTTAAAGAACTGCTGGAAGACCTGGGATTACTTTTATAGGTGTTTTTCTTGGATCCAACCTCTGGCTGCTTGCAGCTCTGGTTTCCCACAGTAGAACAGAGCACGCTCCATCTCTGCAGAGAGGTACAGCACAAAAGCAAAGAGCACTTTGTAGAACAGGTGATGTGATGACACAGGGAATTACCACCACCTCTGCTGCGATTTGCTGTGATCAGAAGGAATTGCTCGACCAGCTTTGTATCCACTTCTTTGCTCCTTTCTATTCCCTTCTTTTATTTTCTCTCTTTGCCTTTGAGGTTGGGGTTTCAATTAGAACTTCTGATGACTCAATTATGCTCTGTGAATGCCACACAGATCGAAAAACTGGTGACAGCAGCATCAGAGTGAAGGAAGCTCTTTGTACTACGAAGCCCACACTCCAGAGAGGTGATGCTATCACCCAAAAAGTGCTCTCTGTGTCACCAATGTGGGGAGGGAATTCCCTTATCCTCTTGGTTTCCAAAGGCAGCACACAGCCAGTGCACTGCAGCTGCTTCTGTGCAGCTTAGAGGATGGAATTAGGAATTTCCTGGGCTGTGCTGTGGCAGGTAGGTAAATAAAGGTAAATAGAATGCATCCTGGGAAGAATTTCCTTTATAAAAGTGAGGGTGAAGAAAATGGCAGAAATAGTATAAACCAGAAACAGCAGAGGGAACAAAACCAGCCTTGGAATTTTGGAGAGAAGAGCAAAAAGAGGCTGGAGGAATTTCAGCTCCAGCAATCCATGGGAGAAGAGTGCAGGAGACAAATGCTAACTCAATGAAGAGCTCTTCCCTAAGGAAATCAAAAACACCTTTCTATACCTAAAGACAGCCAGCACTGAGCCCTCTTGGCTGCAGAGCTGCCCTGGGCTTCTCCCACCCCCAGACCCATAAGAGAGAAGAGCTGCACTGTTCCCACATTAAGCCATGAACCCAAGTGATCTCCCAAGTGCTCCACCACAGTGCACGGCCCATGCTGGCATTCCAAGGTGCTCCAGTGGTCTTTCAAGAGAAATGTTCCCAACAAACTGTTTTTAATTGCTTCAGAAGATGTTTTATGCAAGGCTGGATCGATACGCGCTGGGAGAACGGCTGCAGTCTGTGGGCTGGAGGTGACCAAAGGGATGCACTGCATGGCATGGATTGTGAGTCTGGTGTAAAAACAGCCTGGTGCCATTCTGAAGGCTATGCAAGGACAACTTTAATAGAAAATTAAAAAAAATAATACATTACAAAGCCACGAGGTGGAAGTGCTGCTATGCACTGCATCCCTACAACAGATCGTGTGTAAACACATTGCCTGTGCACACATTCAGCAGCGTTACAAAACAGAACCAAGAACAGTGTGTGTTAGCAAAGGTGTGGTTGGCTTCACACAAGGAACACTGCTAAAAGACAGCATGGCCACGTGCCCTGCTCCATGCTCACCAACCTGTGCCTCGAGATGAACACCTGCAGGGTTAATTTCCAGCCCAATTAGCACACTGATCTGGTTTACCAGCTGGCTGCAAAGTGTGCAATGCTGGTGCGAGGAGGTGGCTTGCAGGCAGCACTGCCTTTGGGCAGCAGCATGCTTTGCAGATAGGCTGCAGTCAACCATGGCAGCTCTGAGCTGGGTTCCCTCTCCCATCACTCATGTAACAGCTAGAAAATGTAACACTGCAGTGCACGAACTTGTGGGAAAAAACATCTGACATTAAACGACCAACAGGTTAATCTGAACCTTCTTTTCCATCGTTATTCCCACTCCACTTTATCCTGGAATACGTGTGTTAGTTGAACATTCCAGAGCACAAGAACACAGAAGGAAGAGGTGCTCCCCAGCTCTGCTGGATGGCTGCACCTCCACCTCAACCCCTCCCACAGGCAACCCAACCAACCCAATGTGTGCAGTGAGCAGCCCAGCACTCCTCTGATGGTGTTGGTGAGGGCTCACCCACAAGAAATGAACCCCAATCCAATGTGATGAGGCTTTGCAGCCTGAGTTTCAGTTCTTTTTGTTCCCATCACTTGTTTCCATGCTGAAATCCCATGCTTTCAGTCTCTCAGATGTGAGTGCGTGACAGATGTTGTACCACCACACTCTGTATTTTAGCATTGATGACAAACTCATTCCTATATTGCTTTTGGGCCTCTGACTCTGGAGTGGGATTAAAGAGGCAATGTAATCCAGTTATGCAATGCAGCCTGGGTGGAGAAGCACTGCTGCTTTGACAGACATTATCCCAGAACAGATTCTGGTCTGCACACAGACCAAGGCTCAACCTTCCCACGTGTCTATGGAGACAGACACCTCAACATCATCACAGGGCCATCACAGGATCCCCCAAGGCAGAAGGGACCCATAAGGATCACCCATGTGCAATCCCAGAGAAGTTACCCAGCAAGCAAAAAACACACAGCAGCATGCAAGAAAGAATAATTCCAAACAAGAAGCTTTTCAGTACAGCTTTAGCATTTCTAATCCTCCCTCTTGCTGCTGTACTGGTACCAATTTGAAATCTGACCTCAGCAGTGTTCAGACACCACTAAGCTATTGCTACATCATTTAAGAACCTTCCCAACAGTGCATCTGAAATTAAATGAAGAGAGTTCTGAACAAAAGAAGTCTGGTTGTTGGCCGAGCTCAGGTGCTGCTCCAGGGGAAGCAGTGCATGCACATGTGTGTGCTAATGCAGCCAGGGTGAAGTCCCATTGAGAGAGGTGGGATCCACAGCAATTATTCTGCAGATAGCTTATCCTAATTGGCTTCACTGTGAGGCTCTGAGGATCAGCAGGGAAGTTTGGGCACTTGGCTTTTTCCCTTTGGAAGACAAGAAGTGGAAGATGTGGAATCGACATCACGTTTGAAATACTGCATATTCGTATTGCAAGGCAGGAAGGAAATACATTCTGCTTTTTTACAACTCCTTGCCAATAATCGTACAGCTATACAGCTTTGTAAAAATGACATCACAGATGGCCAACAGAGCCATTAAACAACAACAGAAACAGTTCTCCCCACCAGAATTCTCCATTTAGAAGTACTGTGGCACGTGAGAAGACAGTTTCTGTCCCACTAAACGATGATGACTACAGAAAGGAGCACAGGACAAGGGCTGTGACATGAAAGGGCCGCACCTTGAGCTACAATCCAACCCGAAGGCAAAGCCATCACGCTCTTACCTGCGACCGAGTTGGGCCGTGGCATGAGGTACAGCGGGATGGACTGCACTGACTGGGACAGGACGGTCTCCAGGTTCCTCTCCGGGATCTTGTTCAGGCTGTAGGTTGAGGCTGTCATGTTCTCATCCACACGGTACAGGCACGAGTCCATGCTGGACTTCTGGGACTGCCAGGGCTTCAGGTTGCCTCCCGAGCCCATCTCCTTGCTGCTTTCCCCTCCATACTTTGTGCGCTCCACGTTCTCGGAGTAGCTCGTCAAAGTGGCTTGAAGGAAAGAATCACAAAGAAAATGAGCACGGGAGGAAGAGGTGCTTGCACACTCACACTGCTGTGCACGGCGCCGCGCAGCCGAAAAGCCACACTCCACATAAATCAGAGATGAAATTGCACTTAATGACACTGCTTCTGCAAGAACGTTCGGGCTCGCACCGATAGAAGCCGTTTGTAATTACAGAGAGCATTAAAAACGATGTGCAACGCTGCGTTAAGAGCACACAACCCCAGAAACAATTAAGGATGATCCATTAGCAGCGCTGCTCCTACCTCTCAATTTGCATCACAGCCACAACCTTCCCAGACGTTGCTCTCAGGAATGCATCACCTGACAAAATATGGTTTATAAAGACTGTCTGACAACGAGGTGCCACACAGACGGATCCCCCACCTGCCTCACACCAACAACTGTTCCTCTGGGTGAGTTCAGCTCAGAACCTGACCCCAGTGCTTTGATTTGTGCTGGTTTTGGGATGCTTTCTGTGCAATATCCATCTGTTTCCCCTTGCACTGCCCGGTTCCCAAGAGCAGGGCTGCTGATATATTAACACATAACTCACCATTCAATTCAACAATCAACTTCATTCCAACTCTTCCTAAGCCCTGGGTGTGCGCATAGATGGACCTGGAGATATTTATCTCCTAAATCCCCTGAAATGCATCACTTTCACTTAGCCCATGGTAAATACCAAGCCAAGGCCAAACTCTCTGCTAATTTCTGTCCCTGGGCACAGTGGTGTGGCTCTGTGGCCAAGTGCTGGTAGTGCACATCCCACCACCATCCCTCTTGGAGCACAGGACACTGCACTCCCTCATTACCACCCACCCCCATGCTGAGCTTTACACTGAGACATCAACCACTTCCATGTAAAGCCACCAACTCATCATCCACAAATACAAAGACGTAAAAGCAATGTCCACTCCACATCCACCCCAACGGAGTTGGTGCAGCCTTCAACCTTCACCTTTCCTATCTTTTTCTCTCTGGGCACTGTGCTTGCCATCCATGCTGTCAGCTCAATGATTGTGTACCCCACGGGTGTCCCAAAATTCAGCTCTCTGTCACATATTCTGAGGCCTGAAACCAACACATGCAGCTGATGAGAACCACATCTGCTTGTTGGCATTGAGACACCCACTTCTGTCAGGTAAACACGCTGACACTTCAATGGGAGAAGCTAAGATGAAACCAAGAAAGGTGCTTATAGGTTTCTTTGGCTGCCAGCACTGATAAATACGTTTTTTAGGATAAAACTTCCACTGGAACAGAGCTGCAGTGCTGAGCACAATACATCCCACCCACAGAACATTCCTTTCAGAAACCTCAGCCTATTTCTCATTAATCATTTCTCATTAACCTTAGCAGAGAAACGCCAGCAGCTAAGATCTTCAATACACCAAACTGAGGGTAAAAACCGAAATAACTATGGGTCAAAGTAAGCTTTTTCGAGCACAGATGGCAGGCTCTATGCCCAAATAACTGTCACTTTCTTACCTTTTCTCTCGAGTAAAATATGACTCCTAAGAGTCATAACTTAAAGAGCTTCGCTTCCTTATCACTGAGCTGTGCTGTGTTCCACCATAACTCTGAGAAATGAAACACAGGTTCCAAACTTCTGCTGATGCTCACACAGCTCTGCTGCAGGATCATTACAGCGCACATTTGGGGCCAATCCTCTGAGATTTCATGGCTCTGTGATTCATGACTGTGACACGAGCAGTGATGGGCTGTAAAAAGAATCCCAACAGCCCACAACCCTGAGCTGCACTGAATTGTGCCCAAGGGGCTGAAGCAGCACCCATGAGAACCCCATACTTGAAGTCCTCACACCCTGGAGGTGCAAATCAAAGCACACAGTGGCTGTCACACTGATGGAGACAAAAGAGGAAACCTTTCCTCAATGCAAAGGTTATAAAGGAAACCAACAGCTCTTGGTTGTTGCAAAATCTCTTATGGGTCCCACCTTTAAAGAGAAGGATACAAAACCAGATGGCATGCTCCAGATTTGGGAAAGATAAACTGATGACCTCGGACACATCAGAGCAGGAATGTTCACCTGGGGCAATCTGCTGAGAGCAGATCTCTCTGGGCTGAGCCTTTCCCAGGCTATAGCCCTGCACTTATTATTATGTGTTATGGGACGTGCTGCAGCATGGCTGGAAGGGCTGCAGGGCTGTGCACACAGAACAGCACTTGGTGCTCTTCCCATTGCTGAATCCATCCAGAAAGCACAACCTGGGTATCAAAAAAGGCAGAATGCTGCAGTTCTGGGCTGCTCCAGTGGAGCTGGTGGGCTGCAGCCATGTGTAGGCTGTGGCTGGGGAGCACAGGAGGGATGGAGGCAGGGGGCACAGCAAAGGGGCAGCTCTGGAGTCATGTGCTGAAAGCATGGGACCTGGCAGGCTGTGCTTCCCAACAGCACTGCACTAATGCCATGTGCAGACAAACACAGATGCACATAGACAGAGATCTTCAGTGCGTCAGCTGGTGGCCAATCCACACCGTATTTAATACCAGCACAGACAGAATTTGGGGCATCTAAAGCATCTGAGAGCTGTGCAGCCCTTTAAGGAGCACAAAGGCCCTGTGATGGCAGGACTGAGGAATTCATCTCTGTGCAGACCCTGCCACAAGGCTCCAGCCCCACTGGCAGCAGCTGGGCACTGTGAAGCTCAGTGTGAGGATGGCAGGAGGGGAGGCATCCCTACAGGGTGGGTCTCTTCTCTTTTGGTTGGCTTCTTCTCCCAACTACCTCACGATACAACGGGATGATGGCCTCATGTTTCACCAGGGCAGAGTCAGGTTGGATGTTAGCAACCAAAATAGTGGTGATGCATTGGCATGGGCTGCCAAGGGAGGTGTGGGAGTCCCCATCCCTGCAGGTATTCCAGAACGTGGGGATGTGGCACTTGGGACATGGTGATGGGCATGGTGGGATGGGGTGAGGTTGGACTTGGGGATCTGAGAGGTCTTTCTCAAGACTGCATATCCAAGCAGGAGCTCATCCATGACAGCATCCTCGATGCCACTGCAGTCAGTGCTGCACTTTGCTAAGAAATATCAGGTATTTACAGGAAATAAGCATTACTTCTCCTGTAGCTGCAAGCCAGTCTGCACCTTGGAGCACGAATGCTGCATTTGTCTCCAGTCACAACACAAAGGGATTTCTGCCATCCCATACAATTCTCCTTGAGGCAAAAATCATGCCTGGAAAACATCACCTTTCTGCTCACAGTGCAGATGGAACAGCAGGAAAAAGCAGTTTTCTATGGTTACCATTTAATGACATGTAGCAGCTAAAATCTTAACTGTAGATAGAAATTAAGGATAAACCTCAAGGAGGAAATACAGATTTTGTTGCATTAAAAACTTAACTGCAGCAGAGCAGGGAGCTTCAAACACTGCACAGAAGAAACTCTTGTGCAAACACTGCAGGTTCATCTCGTTTCACTCCCCATGCCTGCACAGAGAGCTGCACAACCACTTCCAGCCCTTGGATCTGCATCAGATTTATTTCATATGGCAGGAATCTGCAGTTTAAGACCCCAACTGAAATCCGTGGATTAAGAACTTTATGTCACAGAACCACAGAACTGCAGGGGTTGGAAGAGACCTCCAGAGATCATTGTGTCCAATCCCCATAAAATAGGACATGCAGGTCAATGTCAGATGGGTCTGGAACATCCACAGAAGGAGACTCCACCACCTCCCTGAGCAATATACTACAGCACAGATACAACTTGCCATGTCATGCTGGAGATGTCCAAGCTGAAAGGAAGGAATGGACACAGACTGGACCCTTCAGCCCTGCTTAAAGCTGGAGGTCAAACCCCAGCCTGCTCCTCATCTGCTTCACTTCTCTTACAACAGTGGTCTCACACAGAAGGGAAAAACAAGCACTGCTTTAAGTCACATCACCAATCCTATTAAAAACAACGGAGATTAAGCAGGTAAACTCATTTCTGTTTCAAGCCTGAAGCTACCATCAATCACAGGGAGCACACGAAGCTCTCGGAACGTAATGAAAAATACCTTGACCATAGCATCATGCTGACCCCGTATTCTTTCGGTTCTAAATCTGAATTCCCTGGCAAGCAGGATGAGAAACAGCAGGAATGCCTGCAAGGCAGACGGGGCTCAATAGCTCTGTGCTGTGCAGGGCAGAAATGCAGCAGAGCAGCAGCAGTGCACACAGCCCCATGCAAACAGCACAGAGCAGCACAGCTCCAGCTCCTCTACTGCAGGTTCTTGTTTGGGGAAACACGGTGATGAGTGCTTTTAAGCACAGCAAACATCGAAGAGATCTGTTATAAGGGCTCCAAATCCAATCTACAGGCAACAGTTCTCATCTTCCAAAGCACAATACATGTTAAACAAGGGAACGTGTCCCAGAATACAAGTATTTGAACACATCCCTGTTATAGAACCACACAGGTTGGACTGGGTGATCTAGAGCTCTGTTCCAACCTTGGTGATGGTTCTGTGATTCTAAGGACAGCTGGAGGAGAACCTCTGTGACAGGAATGCACAATGACAGACGAGGGGCTCCTTCAGGATCCTAATGGCCTTGGAACTGGCTTTAAAGTCATAAGATTTAAAAAAAGAGAGCAAAAAGGAGGCATGTGGAGGGGAGTTATTACACACCAAGTCAGTTGGCTGAGGCAAGGAGGTTGGAGTGTGACGACCCTTGAGGTCCCTTCCAACCCAACCCATTCCATGATTCTGCCATTCTATGATTCTATACTTGATTTTAACCCACAGGGCACATTCAGGCTGTTGTTGAGCTTTTCTTCATAACCACAAAGGTTAAACTCCTGCTGCTCTTATAATAAGAATGGAGAGCCCCACCAGATCTCAGGCCATCAGCAGCCAATGCTTCCAAGCCCTCTGTCCCAAATCCAAATCCAAAATAACCCTGTGGGAGCTGGCAGCACTGAACTTCCCTCTAGCTGTCTTCTCATCAGTGCTTTCAGTTTCTTTCTTCCAGTAATTCCACAAATCATTTCAACCCTTCCATGTTTTCCCTCTACCAGCCTGGACTGTAAACCAAGCAGATTTCAGTTTCAACACAACACATCTTCTGTGCCACTTACTTCTGCTTTACTCACTCCAGCACCCTCTTTCTTCCATTTTTCCCCCAAATCATAGCACACACATCTGCCAGCCCATCATCTAAGCAGGGTCCATTTCAGTAGACGTAACCAGGGACCCACAGACCCACAGCAACCCACAGACGTAACCAGGGAAGGCAGCAATGCCATTCCATGACATGGTTGCTGTTTGGGTTTCTCACCCTCACACTGAGCATGAACCACGAGTGCCAACACAGCCTTCCTTTTGCTCAGCTTGTTCAATTTAAGGAAACAGAGCCACAATGGGGTCAGGATCCAGGAATGGTTCCTACAGTGATGCCACTGAGATGCAACGCTCCCACCGACGATGCCCAACACATGAGATGCCTGATAAATCACCTCTCCTTCCTCCTCCTGCCCTGTTATCCCACCACTGCAAGCTGCAGATGCATTACTGAGCAGAGCTCATCAATATCCAACATTTTTAGGGAGCTCCTCCTCCGGGGAATTAGCACGGATGGGCAGCCTGAAAAATCTGTAGTTCTTAGAAGCCTTATTCATTATTAACCAACCGCTTCATGATACTGATGAGAACGTCAGAACTCGAACTCAACAGCTGTAGGGTCACAACAATATCTAACCAGAGTAAAATCCATCTTGGAGGGACCTCTGAGCTGCTCTTTGCTCCCTTCTCCAAACAAAATCTGTAAAGAAACCCATCTTGGTTTCCTGCCAGCAGCATCTCTTCTGCTCAGCGTGCAGCCCGGACCAATTTATTCACAAACCCATTTTTCACCCCCAGACACACGTGTAGGAAGCAGCGACTCGGTGACAGCTCAGAAGTCAGCCTTCACTGTCAAGCACACAAAACCTAAGAGAAACCAATTAGTGTGCATGGGATGAGACCCACCTACACCATGGCAGCAGCGGTGCAGGAGGACCTACCCAGCTCACTGCCTTTGCTTTCAGCTGCTTCAGCATCATAAACATCTCCTTGCTCCAAATGATCCCCTCAGTAAACACTGCAGAGCAGCACAGGACTTCATTTTTCACACAGAGGGTGGTGAGGCACTGGCACAGGTTGCCCAAGGAGGCTGTGGACGCCCCATCCCTGCAGGCATTCAAGGCCAGGCTGGATGTGGCTCTGGGCAGCCTGGGCTGCTGGTTGGTGACCCTGCACAAAGCAGGGGGTTGGAACCAGATGATCATTGTGGTCCTTTTCTACTCAGGCCATTCTATCATTCTATGATTCTTTATGTGCTGGCAGAGCACAGCCTTGCATGGCAATGTCAGAGATGTTCTGCATCAGAAGTGCATTTCTGCTGGGATGCACAGCACCCAACAGCACTGAGGTCCAGTGGAGGAGCGTGGGGTTCTATGAACACTTTTCTTTCCAGTAGCAGATTCTGAACACCAGCAGTTGGCTGCCTCTGTGCTGTGAGAGCCAACAACTCCGGGAAGCTCTTCAGAGGTTACAGCCAGGTCAGCACTCCCAGCAGCCGCTCAGCTGCACTGAAAGGATTTAGCAGCTTCCAGGAGAAGGCTGACTGGCTCCGGGCTCCTGTCAGCTCCCTCCGCCTCCCTCCTCCCCCCTTTCCTTGTTCTGCAAGCAAACACATACATTTATGATAGCTTTCAGTGGCAGCTATAAAAGATGCAGCAGATAACCCCCCAAACATCAGCCCTTCCTTCAGCTGCAGTGCCACCACTGCACTGCTATTGCCTTGCACTCCTAACCCGAGGCTGAGCTTCCAAGAGGAAGAAAACCCAACAGTTCTGCAACAGCTTTCTCCCATAACATCGTTTTGGGAGGTTCTGTGGAGCCTTTGTGGAGGTGGACAGGGGCAGCAGTGACATCAGGTATCTGGGAGGAGCAGGAGGGTGACCACGACTGGGAACCACACAACACCTCCAGAAATGTTCACTCTTTTTCTACACCAACGCCCCGCAGGCAGCACTTTGAGATGGAAATCTCCAATGGATTTACACTTCCAAGTGCCACTAGGGCCGCTCAGGGCAAAGGCCATCAGAGTGGTTCTCTTCACACAGAGCAAACACAAGCAAGGGAAACGCACCAAGGGGCTCTGCATCCAATAAAGGAGGAATGCAGCAGAGGGAAACCTGATCCCCGACCCTCCAGAAACAAAAGAGCCGGTGCTGCTCTAAACAGGAGAGCACAGCTGTCTGTGTGCTGCATGGATGGACCATTCCCCTGGAAATAATTCTGGAGAACCATTGCCATACAGAGAGTCCCTTACAGAACCACAGCACAGCAGCTCATATCCAACCGGTGCGACAATGGCACAAATGCACAACCATCCCTCTGCTTGTGCTGCACCGTGCCTTGCAGAGGATGGCAGAAGTAGAAAGATTTGGCTGCAAAAATCCTCACTTCTTTTGCTGCTGGAGAAGATTGCACTCCTGTTACTGTACTCCTGTGTTATGGCTGCATAGCTTCTATTGAAGGGCAGAGTGAGGCGGCGTTGAAAACGTTATGGTCAAAGGGAAGAGGGGCAAGGAGGGGAGGCAGAGGCTGTCATGTGCCTCCGAGTGCTAACAGAAGAAGTGGGAAGCACTGCTTTCTGAAAGCCTTCCCCTGCACCATATGAACGTGCTTTTACGTGACTTTTCCATCTGGGATACATTACCATAACCTTGGGATAAGCCACTTTCTTTCACTTTCCATTTTTTCCATGGGGAAAAAGAAGTCTAAGCTCCTGACAGAAATATTTCCAAGAGAACCTTCTGTGTGAGGGATGAACAAGATTGTGTTCTGACTTTAAGAAATGACCACAGAATGGGATGGGGGGCACGACAGAACCAGCAGCTCCAGCATCTCATCCCACCAGCGGTGTGCTGACACTCCCAGCCTCACAGATGTGCTGCTGGGACCACCTGCACTTCCCATGCCCCTCACCTGGGCAGATGGCACAGCCAGACCACACAGCAGCCACCCCCCACACTTTGGAGAACCAGAAGCCACCAGCCTGTTCTGCTATGCAGCTCCCTATGGCTCTTGGTTTTGTGTTTTAACATCACGCAGACAGAAGTGCTGTTCTATGGCACAGAGCACATGAACTGAGCCCAGGTTTCCCCATCAGCCAAGCAAACTATTAATCACCAGCACAACCAATCTCTCCAAACGAACCACCTTCCTTCTCTGTTTTTTCCCCCACCAGCACTATGTGACCTGCTGGCAAAGTGAAATCATCTCAGCTGGAGAAATACCCAACATAAGCAGAGGGAAGGACAACCACGCTTGGACCATCACTTCTCTCCCATTGCACCTTCACATCTGAGCACACATGAATCTGTGTGGGTTATTTTCTCAAGATTCTCCACACCAGCAACGGGGAAGAACTGGAGAGCAGGAAGAATCCAAAGGCATTCCCATCTATCCTCTACAATTAGGAGTTCAACAGTGCTACGTTAGAAGCTGCAAATAAGAACACTTGTCCCTGTCTCCTTCTTCTCACTGAATAATTCTACAGAAAATCTGACAGTATTTGAGCTACAAAGGTGGGATCTCCATCCATTCTTTTTAACGCTGGAAAAGAGTGGGTAGGGACTGGAGAGCAGAGAGGAAGGAAAATGCTGAAGGAAGCAGAAGGTTGTGACATCACCTGGGGGAGCAGGGGAGGATGGCAGCCCCACCTGGCACTGCCCACCCCAGCTGACTTATGGGACCTGGAAACTCACCCCTCTCCAAACAAGGGTTCAAGTGAGGGGCAGCCAATACAAGAAAGACACAGAGCTGTTGGAGAGGGTGCAGAGGAGCCACAAAGATGATCAGGGGACTGGAGCACCTCCATACAAAGACAGGCTGGACTTGTTCAGCCTGGAGAAAAGAAGGCTGCAGGGTGACCTCACTGCAGCCTGCAGTACCTAAAGGGAGCCTGCAAACAGGAGGGGAATCAACTCTGTGAAAAGGGAGATAACAGCAGGACAAGGGGAAATGGTTGGGTATCAGGGGAAAGTTCTTTATTATGGGAGCGGTGAGATGCTGGAACAGCTGCCCAGAGAGGCTGTGGATGCCCATCACCCTGGAGGTGTTCAAGGCCAGGTTGGATGGGGCCCTGGGCAGCCTAAAACCAGGTCTAATACTATATGTGGAGGTTGGAGCTTCATGATCCTTGAGGCCCCTTCCAAGCCAAGCCATTCTATGACTCTATGAGCATCTGCATAGAGAGCAGGAGGGAAACGATGGCAAACAAAGGGAAATATTGGTATGAGAAATAACCTCATAAGAACTACAGGAGAGGGGAAAGCGCTGGGAAGAAAGATGGCAGGAAGCAAGTATGTGAAGTGGAGAATGAGGGAGGAAGACAGGAGAAAAGACAGAGAACAAACAGCCGCACTCTTTGTCTTCTACCACTTAAGCACCTCCCAAAACTTTGCACCGAATGATTTCCACTTCACCAACCTCAACCCATCGCGACTCCCACCATCTCCACATCAGTTTACCAGTGATGGAGGGTGACCACGGTGCACACCTCCCACTCGTTAATCACCAAAGGTGTGCACAAGCCGCTCAAAACAAAGCTTGGAGGAGGAGAGCAGGAGGGCACGCAGCCCTGCTCACCTATGATGCCGCTGTCCCTGCTCTCCAGCGTGGACGTGGGGCTGGTGACGGCCCCGTAGCTGCAGTCCTTGGCAGGGACGTTGGTGCTGACGGGTGGCAGGGTGGAGCAGGGGCTGCTGGCGGGCGGTGAGGCCGTGCTGCTGGTCAGTGTGGAGCAGGGGCTGATGCGCTGCGTCACTGCCGAGCTCTGCAAAGAGGGAAGGTGCAGTCAGCAAAGGGCGGCTCTGTGAGCTGCTATGGAAGGGTCCGAGCGCTCTGCTAAGTGGTGCTGAGCTCACCTTGACTAACAGCAAGACAAAGCAAACTCAGGAAATCCTGCCAAGACCTCTGTGCCATTTACATCTGCTCAGAAATCCCAGAGGGACTGCAATTTTTCCTTTTGCTTTGTGAATGTTTCCTATGTTGGGGAAAACCAACAGCGGTCTCACAGCTCTGCTCAGAGGGACTCCAAATTCCCAATCTGGGTAGAGTTGGCCCCGGACATTCTGCCTTCCCCATTATAGAGGGTCCCTAAGATATCCCAGCACTCCATGGACAGAATACAAGGAGAAATACAGCAGCACAAAAAGCCTGCTGCTCTAAAAGTTATCTGCAAAAAACTGCACGCAAAAAAATCCTGAGAGTTTATAGATCTGATGCTGTGCAGGCAGATGAGTTTATTAAGAAAACAGAATTGCTGCTGGGTGCCACGGGTGACAAGCTGTGCTGTAAGTGTGGCTGCAGGGCACACTGACACTGGGTGAGCCCACCCTGCCTGCCTGTTTTTGCTGTTGCAGAGTGGTCCTGCCCCAAGGAAGGAGCAGCTGAAGTTAACTGCCAATTTGGAATTTCCTTAATTGAGATTCCTTGTATTCTGGCTGAATACTTTCTTAATAATCCCAGAGATCTGCATTCCCACATTCACGCCATTTGAACCCAGACTGCCCACAGACAGCATCGTGCTCACGTCACAAAACATGTTTCAAGTCAGATTGGTTTCTTCCTTCTCACTGCTCTACTTTAAGTTCACAAATTACCCAGGAAGGACTTCAGTAAGCAGAACAGGGATCCCAAGGCAGGCTGCCAACCTCTGTGCTCCCCCAGCCAAAGGGGTCCTTGTAGGATGGGAGTGGGCATGCTGTGGGGCAGCCCCCCGAGCAGCCCAGCCCCAGCGAGCTGTCAGAGCACTCAGAACTGCTGCAGCTCTGTGCTGTGCATGGCAAGGCTGTGCCAAGCCTTCATCTCAACTGCTATACCGAAATCTTAGCTTATCTCGGGGTCAGCAGAACAATCTGCCAACCCTAAAACACTGAAATTAAAGCTCAGTCCTCCGCCGGCCGATAGCATCGCTGTCTGATGGAACGCCAGAAGTGATGCTTTTATTTGTGGCCCCATTGATGCAGCTCTGCAGACTGAGCTCTGTGCAGAAGGAAGCAGCTCAGCAACGCAGCCACGGCTCGGCAGTGACTGATGTTTTATTTCTGTGTCTGTATAAAAGAACCTTCCTCTGCGCTCGCTTTAGGCATCCATTCCCACTGACAGAACGTTCTGTATTAATACGATTGCTGCTGTTTCATCTGTCACATCCTCACTAAGCTCCACAGAATTAAACTCCTCTGTCACAGTCCCACATCCCCTTTGTGCCGCTCCGTTCAAAAACAGCTCCCCAAAAAGTCAAAGAGAAAGGATTAATTCTTTGACACTCGTGATCTCTCATTAAGGAAAGCGTGATTAAGGAAGAGACCTTCCATCAAGCACGCCGTTCCACAGCAATCTGCATTAGGGACTGCATCCTTCAGTGTACTCAGAACCAGGCACTGGATGTGCTGATGGGGCAGCAACAGTAGGAGCACCTCTGCCCCTCATCTGCTCAGCGCTGGAAGCATTAATCTTTGCATACCCCATGAATTCCTTATCACACCATTTTCAGCGCTGCTTTCAGCAGCAGAGCTGAGGGAAGAATCACTTTGGGAAGGAGAGCCCAAGAGGTTCTCAACCCATGGAGCCCCAAACAGCCGAGCCCTGAGCCCCACACCCAGCAAGCAAGAAAGGAATTAATGTGCTCATGGAGGAACCATTCTCTCTTTTCCAGCTATGAATGGCAATCAAGAACCTTGTGAAACATTTTTAATGCAAAAATTAGCATGCAGACCGAGATATCCATTTATTTACAGGACAACCCTCTGCTGCTTCTCTTCAGATATTTCTACTTGAGAGAGAAGATGGGATTTTAATTTTTGTCCAGAGGCAGCAACAAAAGAAACCATTTGGAGCAGAGTGCTTGGCTGTGGAGCACCCCACTCCACCAGGTGCCACTAAAGCCCATTCTCTGGCACAATGGTGAACACCTTCCATCCACTGCATCTCACATCAACAGAAAGCTGAATGACATCATTAAAAACCTCATGAATGCGTTAAAGGCCAAGCTTTTACAAAAACACATCTCTTGGCATCCATCTTCAGGCTGAGGAGGAGATGGAAGACCCAAACCCATTGGTTGTGCCTATGGAATGGGGCTGAGGGAGCCCAGCTGCCCAGCGGAGCACTTGGAGCAATGCTGGGTGCTGTGCCATCCCCTTCCAGGGGCACTTTGGGACGGAGCTCCGTGGATGCCAATAGGGCCACATGAAATCCCAGTGCCATTTCTGGCTGCTGTTTCTTATCGACTCTCCTAGGGAAGTCAGCAATGTGAGCCTGGTCTCTGGAATTGTGCTGTGTTGGTATCTAAAGCAGAGACAGAATCCTGCAGAGTCATGCGATGACTGTTAAAAGAACAGAAGAGTTACAGCTGAGCTTGTGAGTCTCATGTTGCTCTGTTACCTGCTGGCTCGTCCTTCTCTTAGCTTAAAACAATATTCAAAACCAACAGCAGGATGTCTCCCAGCCTTGTCCTCATTTCATCAGCACTGATGGCACTGGGCACAGCCCCAGGGCTGAACAGCAGGACGAAGAAACTCAAGCAGGTTCTGCCAACCCTACACTGCAGCCAAGATCCCAACCTTGTGCTCCTTCCCTTTTCAGCAGCCAGAGAGGATGCAGCACGTTCAATCACAACAGAGATTGTACCGTTTGCTTTCTATACCTGTTTCCAAGTATGAAACCATCTCGTTAGGCCAACAAAAGCAAAATCTGTGACCATATGTAAAATAACACCACTACCAGCTATTTATTCTTCCTGGAGAGACAGCCAGCCTTCATGCAACAGTGCTAAAATGCTTCTGAAATACTGCATGTGACAAGGACAGATTATTTATTATTTTGATTGTTGTACTCTGATTAGAAATGCTGCCCACTCCCACATTTGCAGACACAGAAAAACAACAGGAGCTGCTTCACACAGTGGGAGCTGATCCCTGGAATGCAGAGCAATGATTCACTGCTGAACGAGGAGATCCAGCCTTCTACCTAACAACAATCGTTTCATCATCAGGAGACACTCAGCTGTCATGTAATGAGGAAATAACCACCATCTCTCATCCTGCATTTGGATGGGAACCAACAGAATCATCAAGCACCTTCCAGTGTTGGAATGGAGCTTAAATAGGGGCAGAGAGTGATGGAACAAAGGGTGAACAGCCTTAAACTAAAAGAAGGGAGATTCAGGTCAGATGTGAGGGGGAAATCTGTTATCCAGAGGCAGCGAGGCGCTGGAACTGCCCAGAGCTGTGGGTGCCCCATTGCTGGAGGTGCCCACTGCCATGGATGGGCTCTGGGTTTGCTGAGCTGCAGGGCAGCCAACCCACAGCAGGGAGAGGGGCTGGGGGCTGTAAGGTCCCTCCCAACCCAAGCATGCAGTGATTCTGCTGTTAAAAGGAGAGCAGAGGACACGACATACCTGGTTCTCATCCTGCACCTCCATGCTGTACTGGGGCCCTGGCTGTACCTCTGTGACTTTCTCCCCCAGGAGGAAGCCCAGGCGAGTCATGAGTGTATTTGCTGCCTCATCTACGGATGGAGGGGGTCCCAGCTCCTGCTCAGCGTCACCTGAGGAGAGAGAAAAACAAACAGGTTGAGATAAATTGCTGACCTTGGCTACTGCTCAGTGCATTTACCAACAGAACGCAGCTAACCTTCCATGCTGTGACTTCTGTATCCAGGATTTCAGGTTACAGACGTCATTCAAATCCGTGCTAATGTTATTTGATGGTCATTAATTGTAGGTTATTCATTCCCCCAGCTGTGAAGGCATGTTTACTCTTACTCCGGCTGTTATTTCTGCTCTCATTGCTTGTTTTATTCTCTGCACCTCAGGTGGAAGCAACACATTCACCTCCTTTTCCCTGCCCCACCAACAGGAAACCCAACTGGGAAGCAAGATTTCCTGGATGTGGTGAATTCAAACCCGCATGTGCCAACTTCTGCTGCTCCTAAAGCGCTACATGAGATGCTCAGCAGCAAACCTGCACTTCTCAGGGGTTAACAGGATAGGGCAGAAAAATCACGAGCATCGTTTGCTGTCATCTGCAGCTTCTGACATGCTCAGGATTATATGGGAAGTGCTGCTCTGGAGAGGTTTCCTTGCGCATTGTTTGGGCTGTGACACAGAGGTGAGAGCACCTCCCAGCCCCCACCAAGCTTAAAAATGACATCAAAAGGCAAAATTCCAGATGATTGTTTCCTCGAGTTTTCCTGCCAAAAATTTAGGCTGTTTAATGACTTGTGGCATCCCAATGGTGAGGCCGCATTCTGCCCCACTGACCACAGCTGCTGCAGTGCAGTCGAAGCCTGAAGGTCAACCTCTTCCCACATCACACCGATGCAACGCCACACTTGGCGCAGCTGTAGGATGCTAATTAGGATTTGCAATGACTCCACAGTTAATTATTCATCTGATCATGTACAATCTGGAAAAGAGCCCATCTCCTTTCCCGCGTCCTGGCTCGAGGCTGCTGCAGCTCTCAGCCTGGAGCTTCATACAGAGCTCTCTGATAACTCTAACTGAACACCACCAACCAAAGGATCAGGGTTATGTACAAAAGCCTTCAGTAGATGCAAGCCAGCTGCACCCAGAAACTCCCATCCAGCTCCCAGTGCACATCTCATGGGAGCTGCCTGCAAATTCTGGGTGCTTCACCCACACCACAGCCCTCGGGAGCCCCGGGGCCCCTCCATGCAACAAAGTCAATGCTAGTGAGCACTGCTGGCTCCTGGAGCACTGCTTCCATGGCAGCTTCACCATGGGGAAAGTGGATTACGGAGCGTGAGAATGGAAGCTGTCTTCTAAGTCACCGAATCCCTGTTGTACCACTTTAAAGCACGCAGAAGTGAATAGGATGGACTGAAGACAGAGACAAATTTAGATGGATGGCCCAATTTTCCTGAGCTGCTGACCACCCACATCTGGGCTGTGGGCATTTACCATCTCAGGGAGTCAAATTCGGAACAGATATTTTTACGTAAAATGAGAAGTATACGGACTTTGATTTCCAAGGTTATCTCTGCTTTTTTTAAAAGCAGACTTAGAATTTATCCCAGATCTCTGTACTGGCCTAAAATTAGCAAACAGCTGACTGTGCAGTCCGTCACACGTGGTGTCTGCAGAGATGCATGGGGAGCAATGCTGGGTATGGGTTCCTGCAGCTGAGCCATGGCTCACCTCTTTGGGGCTGGATGTAACCCTGCCCACACCAACCCTACAACTGCTCCCATGGGCACAAAACTGTCGTTTGTGCCTAAAATGAAGTTATGAGCTTAGCCCAGCTTACAGAACCACGAAGGCTGGAAAAGACCTCTGAGACTATCTGAGACCCCCACGTCCAAGCCCACCCCACTATGCCCATAGCTACATCCCTCAGTGCCACGTCTCCATGGTTCTGAACACCTCCAGGGACTCCCTGCTCCCTGGGCAGACCATGCCAGCACTTGATCACTCTGCAGAACAAACTGCTCCAACTGGACCCTCTCTGGTGCAACTGCAGGCCATCGCCTCCCATCCTATCACTGTTACTGGGAGCAGAGATCAAACCCACCATGCTACAACCTCCTCTGGGGAGCAGCATGGTGCCCCTTGTGCACACTGAATGATCCCAGTTCCCCCAGCTGCTCCCTATGAAAGCTGTGCTCTAGCCCCTGCCCAGCTCCCTCTCCTTCATGGCACAGACAGGTGAGAGCTGCCTGGCAGGGCTGCAGCCTCCTCACAGTGCAGGGCATGAACACGGCGAGCATCCAAGAGCATCCTGGGCAGCCTCAAACCATCCACTGCTTTATTACAACAGCGACTGCAAAGCGCAGAGAGCTCTGAGCTTTAGCAAAGCACCACTGGATTGGATCACACCACCTTTCAGTTTTTGGTCTGAACTGAGTATCAAAGAAGAGAGCAAGCAGCTCCAAGAGGTCTGTGTCTCCTAATGGCAGCGAGACCCAATGCTTCCAGCAAGGTGGGCATCACCTCTCCAGTCCTGCAGGCACAATGCAGTCAATGCTGCGGCCACATTTCATGCACACTTCGGTGCAATGGGTTCCAGGAGCACAAATCTGGCAGCAAGAAACACCAACACACTGCAGGGATCTGCTCGTTTCCCATAACATAACCAACAATCTGTTATTAATACCCTCAGCACCAGGAGAGGTCGGGCTCAGAGGAAGGAGAGGTAATTTGTCTGAGCAGCACAAGCATTGTTTTGGGGAAGGAAAATGCACACACACTGCCTCACTTTGTGCTGCCAAAACAAATGAACCCAAAAATAAGACATTTGGATTCTTTCATGGTGACCTTTTCGTAAATAAGAGGCACCTTCAAAACAGAAAGCAGAGGAGCACTATGCAAAAGGCCACACACAAGAGGTAATCCCATTTCTGGAGAACAGCTCGCTTCTTCCAGCCCTTCATCTTCAGGACAGACAGGCAGCTGCTGTGTTACACAACAGAAGCAAATCAAAGCTCCTGCACTGATGTAAGACGGTTTGTGCAGAGACTGAGAGCACTACAAGCTGAGCACACCGACCAAATGGATGCCTCTGATTCTCCTTCCTTTCCAACAGCTGAACCCATTTCAGCTAAGCCCCATCACTTGTGCGATTCACCCCAGAATTACCTGAATGAGGGCTGCTGGGAGCAATTTCGTGGATCCCAATAACTCATCTACACAGGCTCTGGGTACTTTGGAAGGGTTCAACTCTGGAGCAACACTACATTGGTCTCCTGGTTGCAAAGAAAAAACCTACATGTGTAACAAAATCAGAAGTTTTAGCTCAATTCCAAAGCAGGGTGCCAGGACAGACCACAACGCTCAGCATCATTCCTGGCCTCGCTCAGGAG